GTCACGTGTGTCTGATGCTCGTTAATTATACAGAATTTTAGGCTTTTAATACACTTAAACAGAAGAGTGAGAAAAAAATTCCAGGAACCAGGCTGTAAACATGTTTATTTCTGCTGTGAAATTGGTATTTTTAACATGGGAGTCAATGAGGATTTGCTCGCTCCTGACACCAGCCCCCAGCGGATGAGGGTGGAACTGTAATTTTTAGTACTTCCAGTATTGCTTTTCAATTTTTGAGCCGCATTGTGGGGGCTTGGTGTTGGTTCACAACTGACACGTGAAGTGACCGGCAGCCAGCACCATGTCCAGTGATGAATCGTGCCGCGAAAGGACTCATTTCAACTAATATGTTTATTTTACAACAGTATCTACTGTTAGAGCATCATCTGGGCTCTGAAACAGCTGCTTGACTTAACGAGTCTTTCATTTTACACGATCCCAGCCTCGCCTTGCCAAGCGGACTTTTTATCGCAACAGTGCCCCCTACTGGCTGATAGATGTAAAACATAAACCCAGCGTTGTGCCCAGCAAAATAAAGTTTTGACATGTTTTTTTAATAGCTTTTATAGGAGAAACTGCACATTCATTCTGCACACCTCTAAACACCCTGTGGAGATATTATTATTTTTATAATTTTGCTTTTTATTAAAATGTTCCATATTCCACCTTTTAGTCCACATCGTTACTAAGTGTGAATTGCAAAATAGATTTCTCCACATGGAGATGAAAATCGTGTCTGTGGTTCAGAAGGTTCCTTCCTTCTGGCAGGTGGTTGAGGAGCCTGAAAGCTTAGACAGCAAGGTTAGTGAACTCTGACCCGTAATCTGCTCTTGCATTCCTCCGGAAGGATTTTAGATGGTTGTTAATGACTTTAAGTTATTTGTTTATTATAGGTTAACTTGTGACGTGCCATTTTCTTAAATGTCTGGTCTTAACGTGACCTTCTCAAGGACATTTTTGATTTCTGAGCCATGTTGTCACTGTGCTGCTAAAGCTTACAGATGTTCTCACACCCCCATTGAGTTGTAACAGATGGCTGCTCATACTGAGCCAGGATCCTCTGGAGGTTTCTTCCTGTTAAAGAAGAGTTTTCATGCTTGCCTAGTATGAGGTTTGCTGTAAAGACACTGACACCAGTCAGTGACTCGATGCCACCTGCTGGGATCCTTATATAGGAAACTTTTAACTAATTGGAATAATGAACTGAACTGAATGTCTACTTCGTGCAGTGCCTTGAGACCACTCTTGTTGTGATGTGACGCTATATAAATTGAACTGAATTTCTACTATAGGACATTCCAGGTAATTTTACTGGATCTTCACAACACACGGCTGCCAACTCTCACTCACTGAGCTTGAGGCAACATGTGTATGTCTCCATTTCACCATGCTGGATTGAACGGACCACTTTCTGTGCCAAACAAGTACCTGCCTTGGGGTGTGTACTCGGAAATTATCGGTTAGAGTCGCTGGGCGAGACTTGTGGATAACTACTATCATGTAAAAAAAACAGCATTTATAAAATGAAGCAGAATAGAAGGAAACTAAAATAAAATATTTCCTTTATCAAAGCCATCTCTGTGAATAACGACACAGCAAACAGAAATGCAGCAGCCATCCCTGCTTGTATTGTTATCCTCTGCGGTGTGGGGAACCTTTTGGCGCTGATCAGCGACGTCACTCACTTCTAAAATGTACGCAGTATGTTAAAGTTTTTGCTAAGTCATAGAGTTAAAACTCCTGCAGAAGCTTAGCAGAAAGAACCCTTTTGTTCTGTTCTGGACATGCCATGACCAGAATGCTCAGGTTCTGAGGGGCTTAATGGCCCCACTGTTGTGTCACCCTGATTAGCACGCTCCATTACCACAGGATCATTTCATTCATGTCATCAGATAAACCTTTTTCTGAGATGCCTCTTTTTTAAAACAGTCCATCTCTTGATTATTCTCAAATTTTACTTGAGGACAAACAAACTTTTACATCTAACTAGTCAAACAGCAGAAGTAAACTATTACCTTACAGTGCTTTATGATTTATATCTGTGAAAGGCGCTATATCAATAAACTTTACTTACTTACTAACTTACTTCTCAAACACTAGTTAGCTAAAAAATTCATTGACATGTAAGCAAATTTGCTAAAAGACACGTTTTCTGAACCAAATAGGCATGGACATAGTTTTGGGGGAGCACAGGGGACACCCCTCCCTTCCAAAGCCGGTTTTTGTCCCCTGCACTTTTTACCGTCCAAAACCAACATTACGCCATATTAAACAGACACTGGTTGAGCACTAGGACCAAGCAGAAAACAACAGCTTGTGTTGAAACCAGTTTCCCATTAGAACTCTCCATAAGCTCATCTATTGTCTCTGCTGATACTTGCTAACGTGTTATTGGTCGTTCCTGCTGTCACCCCACGTTGTAAACAGGACAAGCTTACTTTAATCTAGTTTGCCAGCTGCCAGGAGGGTGTTCCAGAAAGCAAGTTTAGAACGTCGGGTATCTCCTGATAAATCCCGGCTTGACAAAGCTCTCCACTCCACTCGCCGGCTTCACGGACGATTCACAGGTGGATTCCGCAGGGATTCCCAAAGTGTGGTGCGCACACCCCCAGGGGTGCGCGAGCTGCCGCTAGGGAGTGTGCGAGGTGAAAAGTGTAATGGCTGCGGAGCTCAGAGAAGTCAGTCATATGTCACCATTAGCGTAGCCAGAAACTCATTTGTGGGTGGGCCGAAGAAAAAGTAAGTGGGCCCAATAAATGTAATTGAAAACAAGTATATTTTTGCGCGTGTGTCCTCCACATGTGCCCTAGCTTCATAATAACAATGCGCCGAGCTTCAGCACTCTGGCCTGCGCACGCCGATATGTTCCGTATTTGATCATTTTTAACGATGTTGGAGGAATCTGAAGGTGGTGAGTCATTCTGGCAGATTGTAATTAACACCCTGTCTCATGCAGGTGTTCTGACATTGTAAACCTCACACACAGAACATTGTGGATGTAACTAAACAAATCAAGAAATGATTCCCATTCAGGCTTTTAACAGCGCGCTGAAGATCTGAAGTTCAGAGTGCGCCTGTCAGAGGTCAGACGCGTTCCAGCGGAACCACGGCTCACGGGTGCACAAGTGAGCACATCTGGGCTGGGCAGAAGTAATTTTACAACATTGGTTTAAATAATGCCAATAACGAGACGTGGTGACTTGAGCGGCTCATGGAACACACACACACACACAGATTCAATAAGCGCGCACGCTGCGCAAACTCCGGCGCGCCGTCAGACTGAAGGCAGAAATGAGCTCTGCCTCCTCTGTGATAAAAACTTTTAAGAGGTTTTACAACATTTTTCATTCCAGGTCAAATTAAGATATTAGCTTCTATTTTGGGATGACGTATTAAAGTCGGGTCCGCTCCAGCCAGTGACTCCGAACCTGACTACAACTCATGTTACTGCAGCATTTGTTATTCCAGTCCGCGTGGCAGCTGATCGCAGATTCAGCCACACCATAAAACAGCAATAAGTCGATCTGAGGCAAAAGTGAACCTCATGGGTATATCTTTTCCATATTTTCCCCTATAGACATTTGATTACGCACAAGTAGGTGATCAGCTCAGGTTTACGCAGAGCAGAAGGAAGGAGAGCGCTCTGGCCGCACAGGTTAAACGTTCCTACTTTAAGAAAATCGTTAAATTGCATTTATTATGTGCTACCTGGGCACTCTAAATATTTATTTAAAATTAAATCAAAGGAAATTGTAATGGTATCGAATGTTTATTAATTACTATTTAAAAAATGAAAGTGATGGGGAAAAAGGTCGATCATATTGTTTTAACCCTGTCTATTTAGCTTGACGTCTGATATATATATATATATATATATATATATATATATATATATATATATATATATATATAGCATGGCTATGTATATATGTATATAGCCATGCTCTGATGTGGGGGCTGGGGGGTGCGTCAACATGGTCGGGACATAGAAGGGGGTGCGCGGCTAAATAAGTTTGGGAACCACTGCTCTATGGGCAATCAAGGCTGGCACACGTTCGTAGGCAGCCCCTGATGATCGATGCTAGATAAATGGGAATGAAAGGAAAGGACAGAGCCTCGTTCTTCATCCAGACGGACCAACATTCATTCATGCCTATGAGGATTACAAAGATATCAGAACTAAAACAGAGACCATGTGCTGTTTAAAAAAGCTGTGTAGCTGGTGCCATTTAGTTAGAACGCGCAGCTTCCATGGCAACGCCGGAAGTTCGCTTCAGCTCTTGTTTCTCCACAAAGTTTATTAAAGTTTTCATCATTTATGTGTCGTTTTCATGTTCTGCTCCAGAGCTTGGATGCTTAGAGCCTTGAGGACTTGCCGTCGGTGTGTAATATACGTGCTAAATGTATATTTGTGACAAACAATTATACTTCCTGTAAAGATCCCCTGGTCCTCATGCCAGTTGTGCCCCCCCCGTAAAGTCAAAACCACATCCATACAAACTGGCTTCCTAATGATAACAGCTGTGAATGGTTAGATTTTCCATGTTGGTATTCTTGTATTTGCTGGCTGCTAACGGTGACGTGTATTGCATTCACTTTAATGACTCGGTTTTCTCTCTAATCAGCTTCCAACGGTCTGATATCAAAGGCTTTAAAATTATAACACTGATGTTTAGAGTCGTTCACAGAACTGCATCCCAGCACTTCAACAAGAGAAGATGTTGTCATGCGACTTTCATTTAATTAGCTGGATTTTAGACAACAAAGTAGCCGCTGTCACATGTACTTTTCACATTACACTCTGGAAGTTTATTTAAGCGGCAGCAACAGGCAGTGAAATCCAACACTCTGTGTGACTTCTGCATTTAGACCAGGAAACACCGAGAGAGACGTTTACTGGCTGTAAAAGACACAGGTCGTCACTTAGTGACCCCGCCGAACCATATGGGTCCTGACGGCAATCTGCTGATGAGGAGAGAGAGAGAGAGACAACACATTGCTGGTTTTGTCCGACATTTTAATGGAATGTATCTTTTTGAGGTATGAAAATAGATCTCACATCAAAATAAGAAATTGGACAGTGGCTACAAAGGGCACAGCTATAATTGTGTGAGGAATGATGAAAACAGGAAGGCATGTCAGAGTCAGATCGCACTGGCGCATTAGATAAAGGGCAGAGCTATGACCCTGTGTGGGAGATGACAGCAGCACAGAGGCATGTGTCAGGCTGGCTGGGATGCACTGGTGAGCCGTGGGAGACGGTCCGAGGAAACAGGAAGCAACGTGAGCCACATGTGTCTGAATGTGCCACGAGGCTGCATCACAGGAGATTTCTGAGCCTGTTGCAGGATAAGTTCCTCTGAATGTTTCTGTCCAACCACCTTTACAAGTACATTCTCATCCCCCCCCCCCCCCCCCCCACACACACACACCCCCCCGCCCCATTCCTTCATTATGTAATGCAGATCAGATATTTGCTTTGAAGATATCTGATTGGCTGCGCTGCTGCTGTGCAAGATTCGCTGGTTGTCTGTTTTACAAATACAGGGAGTCATTTTCTAAACCTCATAAACATCCTCTAGATCTGGTCATAGAGTGAGATTATAATCATTAGTCAGCAAAAACTAACAGTTCAGATCTTTAGAATTGTCAGACTCTAAACGGGTTGCGAAAAATGATTATTTCACATGTTGAACAACCTCAGTTCTGGAGAAATGGATGATTTTTACTGAATTTACAGGCTAGCAGTGGCATATTTTACACCTCCGCTCTAATCTCATAAATAGAGATGCACCTATGCAGGGTTTGAGGGCTGATACAGAAATCTAAACCCTGATTTGGGCTTTTCCCCATTTTATCAAAAACAAAATAATCCTAAAAACATACCCCCATCCCCCAACGCCACAGACAAAGTCCAATTTTTAGGTTTCGAGTTGGAATATCACACTATAATAATCATGCTGAATACGCTAGAGGCAGCAGTAGCTCAGGAGGTAGAGCGGGTTATGCAGTAATCAGAAGGTTGTAGGTTTGATACCGGCTCTCACAAGAGAATGCTGCTGTTGTGTCCTTGGGCAAGACACCCACCTTGCCTGGTGGTCGAAGGGACCGGTGGTGCCAGTGTTCGGCAGGCCTCGCCTAAGTCTGTGCACTGCAGGGCAGCTGTGGCTACATTGTAGCTCATCCCCACCAGCGTGTGAATGTGTGTGACTGGGTGAATGACCGACTGTGTTGTTGGGGGGTTGTAGAACCGTAAGAAGTTGCTATACAATTACAGGCTGTTTGCCAATATACAATTTCAACATTGTAGACATTTGATTCTGAAAATGGCAGAATTCCACCATTTAACCAGCCACACTGTGACTAGCTGTTAGCTCATCAATCTGGTCAGAACTGCTCTACATTTGTCCAAACTGAGGTCATTCTAAGAGCCATCTTAAGCAGGTAAGATGATGACTGTTAATAACACAGAGAACTATTTATCAATATGGGAACTGTTATTTTATGGAAGAAAAGAATCTGAAAGTTGGATTTTTTTCCTAACCACAGAACCAGACGAACATTTTAGCACCACAGTAAGTCCCTTTGATGATAACGTGCTCATTTGCAATGTGACATCAGAGGATGCCACGGGAAAATGCTTTAAAATATCCACATTTAGCACTTGTTGCCACCTCTTATGTAGACAAACACAACAGTTTACCCGTGATCCTTTTATAGTAATGACCCAGAAACAAAACAATTAGATCTGCTGTTTGGGAGCACAATCAGGTGATCTAAGGTTATAAATTCTGAAGCTCCCATTGTTTAAGGTTTGTTTTTAATTCCAACAAACATGTTACTGAGCTGGTGAAATCGTGTCTGAAGCAGCTCAGCTTCTGAAACTTTCTAGAGGCGCACCAACAAATTGGCTCGATATCAAAACTGGCCAATTTTCAACCTTTTCGTCTTCATCTGAAACTCAGAAATCTGAAGGGTGTGTTTGTCATTATTCGTCAGGGATCACAGCATTGCCCAGTGGAAGAATCTGACATTCTTCCTGGACACATAACTCACCGTTGCTAATAGCTAACGCGTGCTAGCAAAAGCATATCTTGTTTTCAAGAATTGTAATTTTCAAGTTAATCAGAAAGTGAAAAAAATCTGGTAGTTATAATCCTTTTAAATAAATTGAAATTGACTAAAATGAGTGTCGGCAAAATCATAAATTCATATCGGTTCTCAAATTAGAATCGGTGCATCTCTGAGAGTTTGAGTGAACCGGTGAGGATGAAAAGCTTTTTGTGCAACCACTGAACAGATTAATCACTTAAACACTTCCTCCTACTTAGGATGAACATCACACCGTGAGACGTCTCAACAAACACAACCAGATGAAAGGACGGAGGATGGCTAATTCACATGATGGAAACACTAAGGGACGCTGGAGCTAAACAACATTTTAGATGAGGGAAAGGTATTTCATCATGTGCTGAAAATGTGAAACATTATAAAAAAGAGAAATGTATCAAATGAGTCTTTGGCTCTGTTGAACAATGGAACCACGGTCAATAATGAACTGGTCTGACTAACCTACAGCAACCATCCGAAGGGTTTCCTCCTCCCAGCAAACAGGGCAATGTTTGCCAAAGGTCACAGGAAGGACCGCCGTGTCGCTGACATTTCTCCAAGGCTTCGTAACCTTTAGGGAAATGTTCCTTTGAGGTTCCAGTTTACTGGATGTTTCCAGCCGAGAACATCCTGAATACTTCCTGTTCCACTTCAGAAACAGCCACTCTGACCATTCATCAGAACTTTTTTTTATAAAAAAATATATACACATCTAATAAATACAAGACGAACCCATTGTGCGGCTGAATACAGATGTTTTCTCACATGCTTTTAGTCTGTCAGTCTTTTGTGAAGTAAGTCTCTGTATTGATAAGAGTAAGGGGTCTGGGGGGGGGGGGGGGGGGGGCGACACGGATGGATGCTGGATCTGGGGAGTCCACGTGAGGGAGATGTTCTCCTGGAGGATGGAGCTTAGTGGATCAGCAGCTGGGAGAGATGAAGAATCGGGTTCATGTTCTTCCTCGGCTGAGTGTCAGATTCACCTGCAGGAAGAATGAATTGGTTTAATAAAAGAAAAGCTGATATGCACCAAAATGATCAGCTGGTGAACGGAACGGGCCTTTGTTCAGTCTGAATGCTCCATCAACAAGCAGCACCGCACAACTCAGAGTTCATTTGCAAAAACAGATAGAAGCCACATTAATCAAAGTCACTTTACTTTGACTGAAATAACCTGAAGTAAATAATAATAATAATAATAATAAGCATTTTTAAAAATACAATTAACAAAACTCTATTTGAACGGCCTGACAGATCTATGTCACACTGTCACTTAACATTCATGGATTCACACATGCTGGCTCACGACGGGGAGGGCTGTTGTTGGTTTAACATCCAGGAAACAGTAGAGAACATTTCGACTATTAGAAGCTAACTGTTACCATTAGCTACTCCACCACACATCAGAACTCCTCCAGGCTCCTGGTATTTATGGAGATAAAATATTCATGTTATAGAGCAAACAGTCAGTTGTAGAGTCGCGTTTTTGTTAGCCAGTCCAAGGCGAGATGTCCAAACATCAGGAAAAATGGTGTCAAATCCTGCCGTCTGAAGCTCCTCTCTGATTTGGCATTTTTCTAGTTCCTGAAGCTGGTGAACCGGAGCTTTGTTCCCTAGAGTATGACTTACAAGGCATTCATTCCTACAAGAGACCACTGCAGATGTGTTCAAGTGATCCACACCTTTAATGTTTCCTGTCCATAAAGTCAGTTTTTTTCCCTTGGGGGGGGGGGGGGGGGGGGCATCTAAATTCTGCTAGATCTAAATAAATCAGGATCATCGTGCTGACACAAATCAGTATCACCCTTAAAGTCTAAATTGTTGCTTCTCTAACAACCAGTCAGAGCTCTGAAATAGAACCACAAATAGCTTTTTGCCTGTTCTGTAGCAATAGTTAGTCGTGTTTTATGCTGACAGATTTGTGTGTATCCCTTAAATAAATCTAGGATTGCATATTTTTGTAAACTCAAAATAATCTGAAATTATTCCCAAACTGCTAAATGAGTGGAAGTCAAAACAAAGCCTTGGCTGGATCTGAAATGTTCACCAGTTTTGATGACAATTAGAAAACCTGACCTAACTAAATGTGATTGTTTATTTATCAGAGATGTGACCAAGTCACTGCTTTGCAAGTCACAACTAAGTCACAAGTCTTTCCAGTCAAGTCTCAAGTCAAGTCCAAGTCAAAGACAATGTCCAAGTCGAGTCCAAAGTCAGTGATGTGGAAGTCCAAGTGAAGTCCAAGTCTTTAATTAGAAATGTTCAAGTCATAATCAAGTCATCTGTCCAATTTAATGATGATGATGATAAATAAATTCCAGAAATAAATCTTCTTAAAGCTTCATTTATTTGCTCAAACATGCAGAAAGTGCAACTGAAACTGATTATAAACAACGTGCTGCTGCATTTAGCTGTACAAGATCAAACCCAGAACCAAGAATGATTTATGATTTCTGTCCATGTCGTGCCACTTTTGTGCTAAAATATCAAATATGCTCAAGTCCTCACCAAGTCAACAGATGCAAGTCGATTCAAGTCGCAAGTCATTGGCATTCAAGTCCGAGTCGAGTCGTAAGTCTTCATAGATTTTATCAAGTCAAGTCAGAAGCCATTAAAATAATGACTCAAGTCTGGCTCTAGTCCAAGTCATGTGACTCAAGTACACACCTCTGTTATTTATTCACACTATGTGTTAAACCCTGGCACCAGAGCTGCAGCCACAGCCACGTGTGTGGAAATCTGAGAGTGAGTGGACTGTAAAACGACCAGGGCTCATGTAGCTTCATCACATCATAGAGCAAACTTAGAAAGTTATCTATGTGCACGAACATCAGTATCTGGGTGACTCTGATATTTAAATCCTTGCGTCTTTATACTTTATTAGATTCAAATGTCAGTTTCATAAGTTGAAAAGGTGTAACCCTTGTTTATAAAAGGGTTCCACAGATGTTTGTGGGGGGAAAGTTTGGTTACAAGTAGAAAAATGCTGGTAAAATCATGTTTTATGTCATCTTTCTGACACAAGCTATCAAACCTGCCCTACAGCATGTCTACTTGTGCAGGATTTAGTTATATGAGTCCCTGACTGTAAAGTAGTAGATTTAAAATGTGCAATTTTTAATCACATTTAGGCTCAAAATAATGTGAAAAATTAACTTTCAGAATCAAATCTAGTTCTACCAAGTTAAACCTAAATATTTAGCTAACTCAGAAATTCATTCAGAATAAAAGCAGCATTACAAAATAGAGTGGAGAGATCCCCAATCTAACATCGGAGTTTCTCTGATGGTAAGACGTGCGTTCATCAATGTGCTGAGAGAACCTGGACAGGAATGTTGATGAATGATCAATGATAGAAAAGACTCACAAAGGGGATCTCCTCACACCTCTGTTTTAGGTGAGCTACTTCTAATTTATGACCATCTACACCAGCATATATCTAAATGTATGGTTTTAAAACACTACAATTATGTTTACATTTCAATTCAATTCACTTTATTTATATAGCGCCAAATCACGACAAGAGTCATTTCAAGGCGCTTCACAAAGTAAACATTCCAACTGAGTCCGGGTCATTAAGGCAATCAGTAAAAAGTTTCCTATATAAGGAACCCAGAAATTTGCATCAAGTCACTGACTGGTGTCAGAGTATTTACAGCAATCCTCATACTAAGCAAGCATTTAGCGACAGTGGAGAGGAAAACTCCCTTTTAACAGGAAGGAACCTCCAGAGGATCCTGGCTCAGTATAAGCAGCCATCCTCCACGACTCACTGGGGATCGAGAAGACATAAGCAACACACACACCATTTCATTATTTAGATAATGAATTATATTTATAACACTTTTCTAGACACTCAAAGCACATTCCATTAGTCACGCACTCTCACGTTCACACACTGCTGGTGATGGTACGCTAATGTGTAGCCACATCCGCACTGGGGCGGTCTGACGGAGGCAAGGCTGCAATTTGCGCCGGCACACTGAATTTGGGTGAAGTGTTTTACCCAAGGACAAAACAGCAGAATACCCTGGAGGGAGCTGGGACTGACCCCACAATCCTCCGATCACTAGGCAACTCACTCCTGAGCTACTGCTGCACCAGTGTAACTTTAAAATGGACTTTATTGGGCTCCATGTTTAAACATTTAGACATTAACATTACTTGTCCTTGAATGATTATATTTGGTTGAATAAATACAGCTAAATGTAACTGTTCAAATTTTAAATATCAAGTAATGTTGTTGAACTTTAAGAGTGGAATATTGATACATGTAGCTGCTAACAATGGGAAATGTAGCTAATAACATGTTAGAGAACAAGTTCAATTGTTTATCTCAGTACATTTGCAGTGGTCTTTGAATCGTGCCTTGTGAGTCTATCTCTGTGGGGGGAAAAAAAGCTCTGGCGCTCCCATTTCAGGAATTAGAAGTTAGTCAGCGCAGAGGTGAGCAGAACATGGCATGATTTAGAGTCTTATTTTCTGATATTCAGACATCTTGCCTCTGATTGGCTAACAACGACGTGAGTTATTTAGCTTTGCATCGATGATATTTTATCTCCACAAGTACCACAAGCCTGAATGAGTTCTGTCATGCTGTGGATTTGCTGATGCTGTTAGCTTCAAAAAGCCAAGATGAACTCTGATCTCGCCTGAACACTAAATCAACAAAAGCCTTCCACAGTCGCGAGCCTGGATGTGTGAGTCCGTGGATGCTAATATTTAACGTGATTGCTTGCAGTTGTCAGGATTTTCTAATCCCGAGTGTTTTCCTGCCTATGTTCTATTGGCGGCTAATGTAGGAAATGGGGTAGAACACGTTCACGTTTGGCCTGAATGTTTAAATCAGAGTAACTGACCGATCATAAAAAAAAAAAATACGTAAACTGGTTATAGCCCATTGTAGCCAAATACAGTTTAGTGGTAAATACAACTAAATTTAGCCTAGCTGTCAAAATGTTAAATCTAAAAAATATTTAATCCTGGTTAAAAAAATAAACAAATAAATACATGGCAAATATCTACTTAACAGTGATGAATAAATAATAAATAAAAGTTGCTGTTAAAATAGATAAATGTGGCTAACAAAGATTTAAAGGTTGACTATGGAATTCGGACAATCTGGCGAACTCTGGTGTTCAGAGGTGGTATTGCAACAACAGGACAAATGAGCAAATTTAGTAAATAGTTAATCTTTTTTTTTATTAAAATAGCTTTTAAAAGAAATACTGTACCTTTACACACCTCTAAACTCCCTGCAGAAGTATTTTGTTTTAAATATAGCTTTTTATTTATTCCACAAAGCACATTCAGCTGTTAAAATGTCAAATAGGCTGAAACCCGTCTGTAGCTACAGCTAAATGTAGCCAATAATGTTAATTATAGAAAATGTGGCTAATAATGTAGCAACATGTAGATGATGCATTTAATATTTTAGTTGTTAGACGCCCCATACCATAGGCTTCTGAACTTTTTGTGTTAAACCAAATTTAATCAGAAATGATTTGAACCAACAGTTAAACCAGCCCTTCTTCTACAAACATAAAAAAATTATAACTTGATATTGATCAGTAGGGGTCCCCGGGTGATCCCCGGACCCGGACACCCCATCAGTCCCTCCCTGCTTACCGCTAATCTCGCGCTCGTGTCTGCGGGGCTCGCCGCAGGTCACGCCACGTTCGGTGAGCTGCGGACGGTCTTCTGCCCGGGCATCTGCACGACGAGCAGCTGCTGCTTCTGCCGGGTGGACTTAACGGCCAGGATCGCCTGTCGGTTCTTGTACTGGACCATCTGCAAGGTGATCTCCGCGTTCCAGCCCTCGTCCTGCGGGCACCTGAAGTCGATCTCCTTCCCTTCCGTCATCACCACGGTGAAGTAGACGTACTTGCCCTTCCGCTCCACGCAGTCCACCGTCTTCATGTTAGCGAAGTGCAGCTCCTTGACTTTGCCCGAGTCCCCGCCGCCTACTCCGTGGTGCTGCTGCTGCTGCGGGTGATCGAGCTGCTTGGGCGGCAGCAGCAGCACACCGTCCTCGGTCAGGACGCAGCGCTTCTTCTTCCACAGCTGCAGCAGCCCGTCGCTGCGCTTCTCCAGTAGACCCTCCTTGAACACCTTCCTCCCGTTTTCCAGCATGTTCAGCCGAATGCTGCAGACTCCCCGTCTGCTGGGCGTCTCGCTGAACGGACGGACGGCTGGTAGACGGTGCGCTGTCCCGGAGAAACTGAGGGCATGGGATGCAGCTGAGCTGCCTGCGCGGTGCTGATGTGGAGCAGCGCCGGTCTGCTGGCTGGTCAGTGTATGTGAAGGGGGCTGCTGGGGGCGGGAGGGGTCTGGAGGACTGCACCGCCCCCCCCCCCCCCCCCCCCCCCCCCCCCCCGGAAGCGTACAGCCCTCACGGAGGACGGAAACGCCACTAGTCATCAGCACTGGCCATCAGCACCTGGATTTAGTTTTGTAGACGACCTCTAAACGCACTGGAAAATACATTCGGTGTTTGTACTTTATCTTTTTAAAAAATGCCAAATTGCTATTCTAATAAATATTAAATTATTTTTTAAAGTTTTTAATTTATTCTGTGCGGTCAAACACCAGATTGTCCCCCTACTATAAAAGACCATAAAAAACAGGACAAGCTTTAAAAGTTACATTTATTGATTAAAGCTTCTGAATTAAATTCATATTCACTATATTTCCATATTTGTGGCAAATTTATGTTTGGATTAGTTTAACACCGAGGAATGTTTTATAACTCAAGTTTAATTTTCAATTTAATTTGCAAACCACATTTTTGTCTCTGGGACGGTTTCCAAAACCTGCACTATGGCGCCCTCTGCTGATAGAAAAAAGTCCCTACACAAATGTTGTGCAGCAGTTGCCTATCCGAGGTATGTTTACGTCTGAAATTCTCATTAATAAGACGGTTCTTGCATCTTTACGATCAAAGCAAACTCCTATGGTACGTTTAAGAAATTGAACCCCTTACTGTTGTGATACATAAACATGCTTAAAATAACTTTACTTCCATGTCCAGATGTTTATATACATACATATATATAACCGATCAACGGTCGATGACTTTAATTGGTTCCTTTGTAGAACCAGGTAGAACTTCCATTTGCTTTAACAATCTTTAAATAATTAGATTCCAAAACCAGTTGGAAACATTCCTCAGAGGTGGCCCATGATGACATAACAGCATCACACAGGTACATCCATGCCTCACCTCGGTCAGTGTGCCTCAGGGCAGCTGTGGCTACATTGTAGCTCATCACCACCAGGGAGTGAATGTATATACGTGCATGGCTGAATGACTGCTTTGTAAAGCACCTTGAGTTGTTCTTGGACTCATTTACCATGATGCGAATCTCCCAATCCGTCACATCTTAGAGGTTCTGGACTGGTAGCTGGAGTCCAGTGAACTAATTTTCAAGTTCAAAGAAAACCAGTTAGAGATGATCAGTCAGCTTTATTTGAAAAACACATTTATAAACATTTTTAAACACTCAAAAGCTAAAGAAAATAAATGTGTTTTCAAATTTGATTTAAAAATGACTGTGAAAGGGTAGCTTGTAACAGGTTTCTGACAGCTTGTCAAGAGATGCGATGGGAGCAGAGTTTCCCTCCGATAGCCAGTCAGAGTTAGCTCAACTAACAGAATGCTGAATCACTCCGCAAGTGATCCTGTTTTAATATTCTCATAATATGATTTACTTGGCCAATCGGGACGTGCCATGTTAAGAGGTGTTAACAAACAACCGTCAGAACATCATGCCTTCTCAGATACAGGATGCTCTGATTTGTGGGTAAGAAAATATCTATGTGCAGTGATGTTACTTTAACTTCCTAAACTAACTTTAACTTTAAGTTCCTTTTTCATGAGTGAGCAATCCTGTGCATTATCTAAAGAAGGCTTTGTTTGGGAACACAGGCTGACATCTTGTTCCTCCTGAAATGTCAACAAGGTTTGCAGAATCTTGTGACTTGTTGGAAGATGGAATGTAAAATCCACCTTAGAGGATGGAATTAGGTCTGTAGATGACCGGTGGCATGTAGGTCAATATGTAGGTGAAAAATGACCATTCCTGGATGTTACAGCAGCTTCAGACCCACCTCTAAACTTCCGTTGATCACCAAGATCTTGGAAAAGGTTTTGGCTAAACAACTCACAGCTGCTCTTGAACACAACATCTATGATGGATTCCAGTCAGGTTATCGTAGAGCTCATTCTACTGAAACAGCTCTTCTTAGGGTCTCAAATGACCTTCTGACCCACAGTGATGTAGGGGACTGTTCTGTTCTGGTCCTGCTGGACCTGACTGCAGCCTTTGACACCGTTGACCATCACCTGCTACTGGAGAGACTGAGAGACTGGGTAGGCCTATCAGGATCTGCTCTTCTCTTCTTATCTGAGTGTTCCTTCTCTGTGGCTGTCTCCAAGTTTCAGTCCTCCACCACCTTCCTAACCAGTGGTGTCCCACAAGGTTTTGTGTTGGGCCCCTACTCTTCCTCCTCTATCTGCTTCATTTTCAGCACATGCTGAGCTCCTTTAAAGGAATCTCCTACCATCTTTATGCAGATGACATCAAACTGTACATCCCTTTAAGCCCCATGAGATGTCTAAGCTGCAGCTGTTACACACCTGCTTAGACTATCAAAACCTGGATGGCTGGGAGCTTTCTACAGCTGAATGAAGATAAGACTGAGATCCTCATCTGTGCCCCAGACAAGCTGGTTCCCAAAGTCAGAGACTCTCTTGGTCAGCTTGCTTCTCACACCAAACCTTCTGTCAGGAACCTTGGTGACCTTTGACCCAGCTCTCACCCTGGACTCTCATGTCAGTTCTCTTGTTCGCTCTTCCTTCTTCCATCTCAAGAACATTGCTGAGTCCCATTCTGTCCTGCTCTGAACATGATAGTTATTCACACCTTCATCTCACGCCTTGCTGCTGTGGCACCCAGACTCTGGAATTCTCTTCCCCTGAGCCTGAGATCAGTGGATTCCTTTCAAAAGCAGCTAAAAACTCACTTGTTCAAGCTGGCTTTTGCATGATCTTTGTCATCACCCTCTCCTTATTCTGCTCGTATTCCCTCTTTCCTATTTTCTCTCCCTTTCCTTACATTTTGTAATCACAATTTCTATTTCTTCTCACTTTAAACATATTTTAATCATTTTTTGACATTTTTATTTTTGTGAGAAGCTCCTCGATTTTCATCTTGAGGTGCTATACAAACGAACATCTTTCCATCTGTGACAAGCACAGGATGCCAGAGACAAATTCACCAATTTCAGCGTTTTCTAGCAAATGCCAAAAGACCTGCATGGTGTTGAGCTGCAAGTACAACCCCCCACCTGTGGATGATCAGGCCCCCATACCACCCTTATTGAGTCCGTTTCAGACCATTTGACTTGACATATGCACATTTGTTACCCACTGAAGGTCATTTAGCTGGGCTCTAGCAGTGCTCCTCCCGTTTCTCCTTGCACAAAGGCAGATGTAGTGGTTCTGCTGCTGGGTTGTTGCCCTCCTATGGCCTCTTCCACGTCTCCGGGTAGCGCCTCCATGCTCTATACACTATGCTGACAGATATAGCAGACTGTCTTGCCAGTCTGCATTGATGTGGCACCCTGGATGAGCTGCACTACCTGAGCCACTTGTGTGGATTGTAGACTCCATCTCATGCTACTACTAGAGTGAAAACTCTGCCAGAATTTAAGTGACCAAAACATCAGCCAGAAAGCATAGGAACTTAGAAGTGGTCTGTGGACATTCACCCCCTGCAGAACCACTCCATTATTGGGAACGTCTTACTGATTGCCTATAATTTCCATGTTTTATTTGCACAGCAAAAGTGAAACTGTCAACGCTGCTTTCTAAGTGGACAGTTTGATTTTACAGAACAGACAGCATTTAATATCATGGAGACATGGATTAATATATATGTCGATGGGATTAATGCAATAGTCTGAATTCCCCAGTTTCAATTAGATATAATTGCACATTAGCACAACAAAGAAGAGACATACTTAAAAATAGAGCAAATTGGAAGCATTTAAATAGTGAACAATATAGGACCCAAGATGAAACCTTGAGGTACTCCACAAACAGGAGCAACCGAGAACTTTTCTTGAAACATAAAAGAATCTCACTTAAAGAGGCAAACAACCTTTTTGTAAAGCTATTAATAATCCTGCTGGAAGTAGCCATCAGAAGTTGGTGGACATGGTCAGCAACACTACTCAGGTAGACTGGTGTAAACCTGGCTGAGGTGGTACTAGGGTCCAAAGTGGGATTCTCCACACCACTACACCACTCACAGCAGTACGTAATATTCAAGGCAGGACGGGTCCATTGTTTTGATGCCAACACAAAGTTCTCTGCTGCTGTAATCAATCACTGATGTACTTAAAGAGCAAGTCAACCCCTACCAGATTCTAACTCCACTCCCACTTCATGTTTGAAAAATGCAACAAATGCTGTTGCCTGGCAGACCGAGAGGGCGGAGCTGCTAACAAATACACACACACACGACATTGTGACATCATAATGTACCAGTTTACATCATAGCATACTTCTTAGCCAATAGCAGTGGCAGATTTAAATTCAAATGCAGTGAAGAGTTTTTACCTGACAACGGCACAACACTGAGTTTCAGGCAGAACATTTAAATTTGAACTAAAATGCACTAAAGTGCAAAACAATTGACTACACGTGTCTGCAGCACGATTAGACACATTTATATAGTTTATCAGAAAAAAATTGTTGATTTGGGGTGACTTGCTCTTTAAATGTTTACAACTTCAGAAACAACCGTTAAATCCAAAGTGACGGATGAGTTTAGGTCAGGAGAAATGTGATTAAAAGATGTGGAATGTACACTTTTAATACAAAATCCAAGCAATTTCTAGGTTTTTAATCACTTGTGCAAACCTTTCAATTAATTAAGACTGAACATAATGACAGACAACCATAGATATGTTTAACTAATTTATTCAGGAACATACACATAGTTATTGAGTACATTAGTATTTTGTAGCATAGCATTTTGCCTTGACAACAGCTGCTCAGAAAGACCTTACAGAAACCTCCCCCAAATGAACATGGTGCAACTTCATCAAAATAAGAGGTACCCCAACTGTCCATGGTGGAGACAATACCATCAATCCACAATGAACTGAGAAGGCATTCTGAATTTAATGGTAAGGGATAGCAATCCTCTGGGTGGTTCCTAACTTGGAAGTATTGCTCTGACAACCTCTCGTGGCATTATGGGTAAGAAACGAAAAGGGTTGAGGTGAGGTCTTTAACATTATGCCCCCATAATAGTTTTTTTTCACAGTGATTTAGAAGAATGTACAACAGACCTCAAAAGCTAAGCTTAAGTTTGGTAGTTTAATGTCCACACACATGAAAGGTTTGAATAAAAGGGACTAACCTGTATGTCACTGACACTTTCCTCTTGGTCCCCTATGCTACATCGGCCCACATCAATAAAGCTTCTGAAAGCGGGCCTCATCCAGTAAGTAAATCACTTAGACAAGTCTCCAGAGCACCATTATACCACCACCCCTTAAGCCTGCCGCACACGAGAGCAATCGGCTGAGCCAACGGCCTCGAATGACCATTTGCCACTTTGACTGGCCACTACAATGTTTCAGCTCAGCCAGCAGCTCAGTAGTGCGCACACGGCATGTTTCTACCCCCCGTGAGGGGGAAAATATCTGACTGTCAGATATTTGGCTCAGCGTCTCGTGAGGCGGAAAACTCTGAAAATCAGGCGCACACGGCGAGCAATCTGCTAAGCAAATGGTCATTCGAGGCCGTTAGCTCAGCCGATTGCTCTCGTGTGTGGCAGGCTTTAAGCACTTCAGACGGAAGGTGTCAAAGTTCTGCTTACGAGGAATACTCTGATGACAGCACACCACTGGTACACCACACACTAATACAAAGTGCAACAGACGAGACGGCAGCCAGACCACAGTGAGCCTATGAGGAGTCTGAAGCACAAAACTGTTGAGAACTCTCTGGAATGTTGGAGATTATCGGGCTGTGCCCAGCCAAAGGAGCTTCAGTAATTCTGTCCAGTTAAGAGTGGCAGACTCACCGCCTGTCCAACCAGTCCATGTACTGGAATGTATCAAGTGGAAAGCATGAGAACAGGTCACACTTCAACTCTGAATCCTACAATCTGGAACGTTTCTGAGCATTCTACAAGGTTTGGGAATGCTACAGTTCTTTTTAAGTCCTGAAGCCCCTACTTGAGAGTAAACAGTGGGGGGGATTACCCGGAACAACCAACCTAGAGTTCTGATGAGCAGATGTGATGAGGGTCAGTGTTTGATGCGATTCAATGCTACTGGGTTGCAGTCTAAACCACAGCTGTTGTCTAAGAGCAAACACCCAAAAACTTCACAAAACCCAAACTAGTTAATCAGTGAAGAAAGTCCATGCTTTATGAGGGAAATATTTTCCTGGAACCTATTGTACAGAGGAGGAAAAGGAGAACAGGTCTAGTAAAATACTATGTATATTGAGCCAAACAGCTCCCGGTATATTACCATTGTTTTTGTAACAAAAATCTTTGAACTTTGTCTTCAAATTCCCTACCAAGAAAAATACAAAACATTATAAGGCGATAACTATTTTTTTTTATTTTTCCTTTTTGAATTTGAGAAGCAGTTACAGTGCAGTCAATCCTCATGGCAGCCAGGAGAGGCCTCACTGTTGCTTGCACTCAGCTGGGGGGGCTGCATCCTTCTGTAAGAAATCACAACCAGATGGGTTGTTAAGATAAAGCCACAATGTACACCCCCACACCCACACCAAAACAGACTATACATACATCAAGCAGCTACATACTGAAGGGCCACATAGATTTATACAGAGTATAAAAAAAAGACGTATGCACATGGTGACCATTGTCTGTTTTTGACGCGTCTTTGCCTCCGTTTCTCTCGACACAAATAAAACATTAGAATATTATGCATTTTATGACCAAATAAAAAGGTTGCCGACTGAACAATCAAAACATAAAACATTGTTTTGTGTTGAATCTCAACCTACTTTAATTGATATAACATAATTATTAATCTGGTAAATAAACTAACTTTAATATATTTTACCTTTACAGTAAAGCAGGCCCTCAGCTGTCGACTGTTCCCTGACCGCTGACGTGTGAACCAGCCATGCTAGAGGCGTACCTTGGTGTGTCTTGCCATTTCCTGAGTTAAGATTGGAAGATGAAGCACCTCAACCATGCCACCATGCCCCTTGTGAACACAAGTCATTTTTGTGTACAATTTATTTTTGGTTTTAGGCGCCTACCTCCATCTGACTGGAGCATTTGCATTAACAGGTTACAAAGTTATTTAAAAGTTTTTTGATAAGCCTTCATCTAGGGCTCGGCAATATGGACGAAAACTATCGATTTTTTTTTGTAGTTGCAGATTTCCAATATACAGATATATATCTCGATATTTTTCCTCCTGTAAAATATTTACAAGTTAACTCACTTCAAGCCGTCTTGAGAAAGTGTATACATTAATCAGTAGATTAAATGCATAAAAATATAGTTTCTTGTCAAACTAACATTAGTGCCTATTCTCTACCAGTTTGAGCTTTAGAAACACTGGTGCAGCTGTCCGTTAACACGCACACACACACACAGTTTAAAGTTAGAAGTACATCAAAAGACCCACAGGCACTTTTAATTATATAAATAATGTTAAATTTTTTACATTTCATTCAGAGGTGGCCCATATCGTACTTTTCTTGTCCAGAAAAAAAAATCTATCATGTTAAATTAAATTTATGATTATGTAATTGCATCTACTGAAGATCACATGGGTCATGCACCGTGGAGTTAATAGTTATTAGTGCAAACATTGCTGGAATCTATCAGTATTGACTCATATCAGCGATTATACTGTAAAGACTCAAGAGTCTCTGGTTGCTCATTTATGAGTATTATTTTTGGGCTACTGTCGCCGTAACCCACGCCTTACAAACTCTTAACCTTTTCAACAGAATCGCTCGTAACAGAGTATTTACTAGCAGAGCGGGAAAAAAACAGAACAAATCTTACCCGTTGCACCCGCCTTCAAAATTATACGTTAACTCTATAGTTTACTATTCAAACTCTTACAATAAGTTTCAGGTAATTTGGCCACTCCGGCTATCCGTAGATGCTTCCCCATTACACACGGGAGGGAGGGGTTTGGCTCGAACTCTCTGGTTCCGCACACACAGGATGAAAAAACGGAACTCCGTTGGTGTTGAACGTCCCCAAATAATGAAAAACCAGGACACCAAATGCTAAGTTTAGAGCAACACATTTACCCAGTGGATCTCAGATTGAGCAAACTTGTGAGAATACACATAACCACTTAGAGACGAAGCAACATGTCGCTACCAAAGCGGCTAATCGCTAGCATAGCAGTTTGACCAGTTATATCGAAATAAAGATATAAAGTCACCTTGTATCTTGTTTAAAAATTATACCAACATTTTAAAAATATCTATATTTGGCCCAGCCCTACTTTCATCTTGTCTTTATTATTAGAAGGCACATAGCAGTTCACACTTCAAACTAGAAGCTAATGATGGGTATATTGGAGCATCCTGGCATCCTGGTGCAATAAGTAAGGATGGACAATATATCAGCATCAATATCGGCCGATGTTGGTCATTATGTAACAATCTGTATCAGTTCGAGAAATAAAACCGGGCCGATATTAACCAATATTTTTTCCATCTCGTCTCCATTTGTTTGCCTGTTTCAGAGGGTGAGGGGGGTGATGTGTAATTGTTTAGTCATGTAAACAGTGAATGAAATCATCTCAGAACCGTAAATGTGTGTGGTGTGTGTACATAACGTAAATTCAGCTTTAATAATTTTCATTCAATACAAAATTTGCTGATTTTAGAAGCATTAATGTCAGTATATCGGTTATCGGCCATAACAGTGATATTAATATTGGTATCGGTTAAAGATGTCATATTGATGCATCACTACTAACCACTCCTACTTATGAGCGTGACAATCACAAAACCGAGAAACAAACCTGAAAGGTAATTAAAATAGTCATGCTAGATACTTTTCTGTGGTGGACAACAGTGTTTCATCTGCTAGCATCCGCTATGGGTAATAAATAAATCTCTTAACTGACTAGCTCAGGTTACTCAATTAGGGGTCTTTTATTCAGACCACTGTAGGCAGTAACCCACTGCTTACAACTTACACATAACATACTCTTGTATAATTACCTCTTCAAACGGTTACAATAAAATAACATTATGAATAATGTTATTGATAATAAATCTAACATAAATTTGTGAGGGTTTTTTGCTTTCTTGTACTATGTAGTGTTTAGAACTATAACATTTTCAATCTGTTAGATTGTTACCGATAGCAGCTACATTTAGGTTTTTTAGTTTTCCTTCTGACTGAATCACTGATGCTTCATGCTTCAGCGTGAAGGTGTATGTTGCACTCATAACTTCATTGAAAATTTGACCGATCCATGTGATTGGTATCAGTGATCAGCACTCTTGGAAATTGGTATTTGTGACCGACAGCAAAAAACTTGATCGGAGCATCCAAATGATGAAACGGAACCCAGCTTTTCTGATTCTCTAAACTAGGATTACTCTGAAGCCTTTAGAATGAAAATCTAACATCAGTAATGTTCAACTGTTTAAATTACAGTACATGGTCCTAAAATGAAGGACAAATCTGTTACTTTTTCTGCTGCCACTGCAGCATTACAAATAAATAATCACTTAACCTTTTGATAGTATATCAGATAACTGATGAACATCAAACAGAAACCTACAGAATTGTCCTGAAGCCGTGTCTCTTTTAATGACATCAGACAGTTAATGATGTTACCTGCAGATTAAAGCGGTGGAAAATAATAATTTAATAATAGATGCATAGAAATGCCGGCATAAACAATTATGAATCACTAAAACATGTTAAAATCAATTAGTGGAATGTAGTTTTTTTTTTAAATTAACCGAGGCACCGGTGTCATTCAAATCTTTTAGAGTGGGATGTGTCTTCCACATGTACAGAGTAAAAAATATTGGTTCGCCTTAATGTGGTGTTGCATAGCTGAGTGCCTAAGTTCTAACCTGAGATCGAACTCAAACGGAGTAAAGCCTAGATTACACCTTTCCATCTGCGTTGGTGTGTAGACACGCAACGCCATTATGCGTTGGTGCAAGGGATCTCCAACAGGCTTGCAGAGGGTGACTGAGACTTGCCCAATTTTTAAATTTGTCGAAAATGACGGAAACGGCAAGACTGATTTGTCAGGACGCCGCTTTCTTTACATTAGTCATTAGAATCACCACTGACCCCTTAAATTTAGCAGCAGACCCAGAACAGATTTAACGCATCGCAGAAAAAGTAAAAAATTAAAGTGTATTCATCCGTGACTGAAGAAGTACAAAAGTACAGAGCAAATATTTTGTTCATGGATTGAAAGGACGAGAAACGTGGGTTCAGAGCATGATTTAGAAGTGGCGACCACATGAAGGGTGGAGGAGAATCAAGGACAAATTTGTCCGTGTTTTAAAGTCTCTGAAATATATAAACACACTAGGAAACACCATCGTAGAATGGATAAATGAGCTTAATTGAGGCATGATACCACAGAATAGTGCTCCATTGTCCTGGCAGGGAACTGGTTTGCAATACTCCTTAGGTGATGGAGAAGTCCGAGAGCAAAACGTCGGTCAACGTGCGTGCGTCTCTCCCTTGTGGAGAAGTATAAATCAAGCTTTAGCCTGACAGGTTGAGTCGGACTTGAGCGGATTGAGACACACTTTACGCGCTTAGACAGCCAGAGAAAGTGTGAGAGTCTCTGCTCACACAACAGTGGAGTGGAGGACACACCTTATTTCATCTTTGCGTTTAAAGAAAGCGCTTAAAAAAAAAAAGAGCTCAGATTCAGTCAGACCTGGAACAAGGGTTGGGATGTCAGAAGAGCCAGTAGGGAGTGACAACGGCTGTTAGCACCCAATGATCTGTCTCTTATTTAGAGACGTTAAGTATACTTTATTCTTTTGTTTTATGGATGTAAACTAATGTTAAAATCAACCTAATGGAAAACTGGAAGGAAGCTTTGGTTAATCGTATATTAAAAGGAGGATACCTTGTTTCCCTTATCTGCTCCTCCCCAGAGAAACTATGGACAAAGTCCAAAGTTTCCCAAGGGGCAAGTTTGTAGTTAGCTGGTTAGTGAAGGAGCTCCATCAGCTGGGTTCAAATGAAAACTAAGCAAAACATTTTGTTTGATGGTTATGATTCCTTACGCCCTTGAAATGTGGCAAAAATGTGATTCTAAAGCAGCTCAAAGACATTACAAGCCAATACATGGACCCATTACGGATATTATAATCTAAATTAAAGGCAAGAATTGGACATATCTTATAGGTGTTTAATTTGTAAAAATGTGGTTAGCATTAGCAGAGCTCTTTCCCACCGCCTGAGATGTGACTGTTGAATGAGGAAACATTTTTGCTTTGTTTAATCTTAAATGTTTTGCACATTTACATAATCCTAAAAACTGTTGTGATTGCAGAGCTTTTAGGACAGCAACATGGCATTTTATGTCTGAGATGTTTTTGATCATCAATGAAAACTAATCGAAATGAAATTACGATGCATCGAGATATCGATTTGAAGACCCAATAATTGTAATCTTAATCAAATTGTTGGACTAGTGAAGATTCACACCTCTCCTGCAGACATTGGATAAATAAAATCAGTACACAGCAATTTGTATCTTAAGTGCATATTTATTTTATCGGGGCTGCTAACTAGGGATGGTCTGATCACGTCTTTTTGATCCTGATCCAATTTACAGTCATTTGATTTTAAGAATTGGCCGATACCAATGACAATCAGCTCCTTTAACTTTGAGACCATGGTCTCGAGTAAAAAATAAAAAAAAGAGTAGAATGCCTTCTGCGGGTGAGGGATGAGGTCCTGCCCCAAGTGGAGGAATTTAAGTATCTCAGGATCTTTTTGCGAGTGAGGAAAAGATGGAACGCAAGATCGACAGGTGGATTGCCGCCGCGTCTGCAGTGCTGCAAGCGTACCGATCTGTCGTGGGGAAAATTAATTGAGCCAGAAGGCAAAGCTCTTGATTTACCGGTTAATCTATCTTCATAACTTCACCCATTGGTCTTTTTCAGACACGTGACCTACATGTCAACCACACCTCTTTAGCGCTACTATAGGTGTATGACTCGCGTTGCTAGGGGAAGCCACAGGCAAACTTGAAGCAGCGCAAGAGTCAAAAGGATGGATAAAAAGAACAAGGATGAAAGCATCACTTACAGGGTTAAACTTGTGAAGGAGGACAGGGATCTTTTTTTTTTGAGAAATGGTCTTCAGCCAAAAATGTAGATCCCTACGACCTCAAAGGACACATAACGAGCTCTGATTTTTCATTACTGCCAAAAATATGTCACTTGAGTTAGCGTAGCAGTACTTTAACCTATTCATAATAAGGTAAAAGTAAAAAATAGCCATCCAAAAACATTAACACAGGTGCTGCGTCAGGTTAAAAATTTTTGATGGGCTCTAATTAAACAAGTTATTATTAATCTAAGTTACAAGCAGGTACAGAAACGATAGCCAGAGGTCGTGCTGGACGTTTAGAATGACAGTTTTAAAAACCGGTCACGATTGTTTCATACCATTAATTTTATTCTCAAATAATAAAAATTCCCAATTTAATTTTCATTTAATATTCCATATTTGGTCTAAACAAGCTGACCAACAAGTCCAACAACATATTAATGTTACAATTAACTCATTTTCTGCCAGCCGTTTCCTGATCGGTAAAGCCCTTCGCTGCCAGCGTTTCTCGCCTTTTTTACTGTTTTTTTCAAGAGTCACATAACGTTGCGCGCTAGGATGATGTCGACGCCAAAACAACCAAAACAAAGCGGAGGCTCACCTCTTACATCAGGAAGAAACTGCGAGTTTCTAGCGTAATCCGTTCTTTCATAATCCGTTGTTGAATTGTGATCGGCAGAAGCTTTTCCGATTCGTGCCTCACTTTTTTTACAGCAGCGACCCAAAACCATCTCCTAACATGAATTTTCCACTTCCTGATCACGTGACGCGTGATGTATGCGGATGAAGATCATCTTTAGAGCCGAGATGTTTGTTCTCACGGTGTGGGGGCTCGTTCCGATGCCCACACAGTAAAAAAAAAAAGCAAATGACGACTAAGTCACATAACGTTGCTCTCCACAGCTCTTCAGCATGTTGAGCTGATCATGTTGTCCAATCTGAGATAATGCTTAGATGTTCTGATGGGAATCTTTTCTTGATTTTTGCTACCTCTTTAATGTTCTCTGTGTGTTTAAAGTATCTTCTCACCTGCAGCATTTTGATTTTTTCCACCAAAAAATAAACAAAAATATATATATATCTGGTTAAAGTGACTTCAGCCTACATTCAACTTGTTAGTCTTGTTAAGATAGCATGGCAACCCTCCACAGCACGTGTACCACTTTCTGCAGTTTAATAGGCTCACATGTAAAGCCAATCAATGCTTAAGGTTTATACACCGCACTATCCCATCATGCAACGCGCTGCAGTACCTGATATTTTATCTGACAAAGACAGATTGTCACGAGCTTTAGGTAGTGACTGGATGAATGAGATTGCAGATGCAAGCGGCCGAAATTAGTTCTCTCCAGAGTGTCTGGGCTCCCCCTTACAGATAGGGTGAGAAGCTCGGTCATCCGGGAGGGGTTTGGAGTAGACCCGCTGCTCCTACAGATTGAGAGGAGCCAGTTGGGGTGGCCTGGGCATCTAGTTAAAATACAGCCTGGATGCCTCCCTGGTGAGGTTTTCCAAGCATGTCCAACCGGACAAAAACCTAAAAGAGAGCCTCAGGATTCCCCCGGAGGAGCAGGTCTAAGTGGCTGGGGAGAGGGAAGTTTGGGCATCCCTGCTTATTCTACTGCCCCCGTGACACGATCCCGGATAATGGATGGCTGAAAATGGACGGATGGATGCTGATACAGAGTCCTGACCCTATACTTTGGGAATGTATCAAGAAAAAAGGAAAACACTAAAGCAGTCCTTAAATTTGTATTATTATTATTCTTTTTTTAACTTTCTTAATGCACTTGCTCCGCAATTGTTTCTCAGGCTGGAAACTGTTCATCTACGTGAAATAAAAGAATCATGAAAATCATTTTTGCCATAACAGAGCAGCTCTAGTTTTCACCTAAGAATAAATTAGTTCATTTCAAATTTAAACTTTGAATTTCATCTTGGGGACCTGTTAGATAGCACTCTTTAGATTAGAATTAAAGTGGATTAATACACAGCTAAAAAAAAGATCTTGAGAAAACGGTTTAAAAGCAGACCAATGGTGTGTAAATGAACCGTAACACACAATGACCGCACAGAACTAATGAAAGACGAATCCTCATCCTGACGACGTCTAAATCTGCATTTGTGCAGACGACAATTTCACCATGAGAGAAAGTTAAGTGCCCAACAAGCTTCAACATACAGAAATGATACAAGTGCAAATGCTGATCTCATCATGGGTTAAAATTCAGAGCAAACCAACAAAAAACCAGAGGGTTAGTCAGGAGGAGAGAGCAGGACGGCGGCAGGAGGAGGTGCAGATGTGTGGGGTGAGGGGTGCAGAGCGGGATGGAAAACCAAAGCAAAGGAGTGTGTGTGTGTGTGTGTGTGTGTGTGTGTGTGTGTGTGTGTGTGTGTGTGTGTGGATAGCTGACAGTTCACAAACTTTACCTACCAGCATAGGGTTATTTTTCTATAGTCACCATTTAAACCTAGTGAGGAAAAATTTAAAGAGTAGCTGACAAAAATGCAAAAGTGACTTAAGATGTAGAAACAATGAATAGGAAAAAAAAAACAAAAGCAAAACCAGCAGAATACATACTTGGACTTTAGCTCAGCAGGGATGCAGCAGGAATTTATTTACTTGATATAAAGCTGCATCAAATTTCAGAGTGGCACAAATAAGGCGGCAAAGAAGTTTTTAAAACCCAAAAGCTTTGAACCCAAATTTAACGATTTTGTGATGAAACTCGAAGCATCAAATAAATCACCTTAGAGCAGAACGTATGTTTCCACAGTAAATCGTTTTCTCCTCATATCATCTATACACAACCTGAGTTAGCCCGTTTATTTCTGCAGTTTGATGGGTAGAGGTACAAATCACCCTTTTCATTTCCCTAAAACTTTGGTTTAGAAGTTTTTTATAAAGTTTATATAAAATTGTTTAAGTTTGTCAGTTTAGGGCAGCAGAAAATATTTAGGTTATCAGGCATGTTATGTTAGTAGTTCCCAGTTTTTGATCATGTAAGCTTATGCACAAATACTTACACACCACAAAGGAAATGATTCAGTTATTGATTATAACCTGTCAAAACGTTTGCATGCCGGGAGAAGGGACATCAACTCCCAGAGCTCTATTGGCTCCGAGGTTCTATAGACCTGTTCTCTTATGTCAGTCGAGGAAAAGTTATTTTGAAGCATGCTATGGTTCTATCGCCCAGCCCCACCTTGAAGTAAATCTGAATAAATATGCGTTGTGTGTCTGGATTAATACGCATTAATTTTACAGGAATACATGAAATTAGTAAAATATGATTTGTCGCTGCATGCCATTCGTTTATAAATGTTCTGTTTTTGTATTTTTAGCTGTTTCTATAAATAAATAAATAAATTGTCAAATGAATGCAAGTTAAAGTCCCATTAGTCATCATCACACTGTGGTGAAATTACATCTCTGCATCTGACCCATCCCCACAGGGAGCACTGAGCAGCAGCATTGGCTGCGCTCGGGAACTGATTGTTTAAAATGGGACCCTATGCCTCCCTGCTTGATGCTCAGCTTTAAGGGGTTGGATTGGGGGTTAAAGTCTTCGGTATGACCCAACCAGGATTTGAACCCTCATCTCCCAGTCCCAGGGCATACACTACCACTAGGACACTAAGAAGGCGAAACAGATCTGAAGAGTTGTCTTAATGCTCTAATTTTGCTTTTTAAGCATGTTTGTATTGTGAAATCAGATATTTGAAATCACGTTTAGACAGCTGCTATTTTCAGGGTTTGCAGCTGCTCCACTCAACCTCACAACCCTTAAAGATCCTGATACCTCATTAGAAGCACATACAAGCTACAACTACTGAATGAACACATCCCTAACAAACATCAGCAGGTTCCAAGGACAGGGTATCTGCAGCTTTAAGGGAACCAAATTTAAGACTTTTTAAGACCTTTTTTTAAGGCCACTTTGACAACATTTAAGCCATTTTTTCAAATTAAATTTAGGCTATAATTTCCAGCTATTGCCCGATTAGCCATCCAGTGACCATTAAACTTGCACTTCTCCATGGCGCAAGCTCCCACCAGCTAATGTGCTCATCTAAAAATAGCCCCCTTTCAAAACCAACAGCATGTGTACGGTTCCGCTTACGCCAACATCATTCACAAAAAATGCTGAACACTAACTAGAAATTCACGAAAATTTTATAAAAATAAAATAATCTTGTTTATTGGGTCTTTGGTCATTTAAGACCTTTGGAAACTGTATTTAAGGATTATTTGTCATTTGTAAGGATTTTTAAGGCCTTAAATTTGGAAAAGCAAATTTAAGACTTCTTAAGGTGCTGCAGATACCCTGAAGGACACGCAGCAGTTTTTGGACAGGTGCTTCATGCACATGAATTAGGTGAAGTTGTATTCATGTTTTAATTCATGCACACTGATGGGGTTGACTAGAGGTCGGGTTGAGGGTTTAGTGACAGCGTCTGGACTTCACTTGTTAAAGATTATGCTTAAAACAATAATTGTAAGAGACTAAGAATTTTGTCTACAACAAAATGAAAGTTAAAGCAAAACAAGGCCGGTGTAAAATGAGATGCATTTAACACTTATTTTTGTATGATGAGCAGACCAAGGAACAGCTGTTAACCTACAGATAAGAACTCAGGTGTTGTTTTAGCAGCACCACCGACGCTACCGTCATACTGCACCACTGCTCATGTCATACTTTAAATGTAACCACCACCCGACTCCAGTAGGATCAGCCTGCCACTCTGAAGAAACTTGTGTGCAATGTGTTTAGCAAAATAAAGATGGATGCTACGTGAGAGTGCGTGCATCAGTTCTGTTCAGTTATTGTGAAATGAGGTGGGTAAACTACAGCTAAGAGATTAAAGGTAGTTGATGTTTATATCTGACATTTCAAAACCCCTCCTCCAGTGAGGCGTTTACAGTTAAAATACTGATTTATGAAACATGCGGGGACCTCTCGCATGCACATTCCTCCGCAACATCTAATAAATCCTGCTTGTGCGTACATACACAAACGTCCTCAATTAACTATATTTGGTCACGTTACGTCCTCAGCATGTGAGGGAATTCTTTGTTTTTTCCCGGAAAAATAAGAAACTTTATTGCCAGCGAGACTTAGACACCGGCTGCCGAAGCGCAAAAGAAACAAATAAGTTGTGGAGGTTGTAAACGCAGTTGGCTTTAGCGCCAATTATTGGAAAAAGCCATTTTTCCACCGATTCATGTTTATTGGGTAAAATAATTTGTGGATAAGGAACGTGTGGATGACTGAAACCTTCACTGTGGTTCCTATGTTCCACCACTAGATGCTGTTCTTATGCACGGTCAGAGCTGTTTTTATATTTAGGAACATTTCTACGCACAAGTACAATGGTAAATACCGCACAATGTGTTAAATTGGTCCTCCGTACGAAACACGCACAGATCTGTTCGTAAGTACGGGTGCTAAATGAGGGCCCAGATGTGGCCTGCAGTGTGAGCACAGCCTGAGTGATGCTGAACTATGGAAGGTTGTGGAGTAGCTGCAGCCATCTGTGTCCAAAAGAGCCGGCAAAGTAACAAACTGCTGAATCAGGTCTTTCTCAGGACACCAGAGATCTTTAAAGGAAGTTCTGTGTTCTCACCTTGGGATCATAGTCTGGGTCGTTCTCTTCATCAGCCTCCTCTTCACCTTCCTATAAACAACACACTTCAGTCCTCTAGACTCCAACACTTAATCATTCTGTTACAAGATTTATTAGAAAAACAAGCTTCACCTCATCATCTGCCTCTTCTCCCTCTTCATCATACTGCAATTAGAAAAATTAAATAATCACATGTGGTGCCTAGCATACCCAGGATCAAACACATTAGAACCAGAGTAGGGTTGTCACGGTCTGAAAATTTAACCGCACGGTTATTGTGACCAAAATTACCACGGTTTTCAGTATTATCGCGGTATTTTTTTTAAACGTGCTACATTTTCACACAACTAAATAAACCCTGTATATCAGGAAATATTGTCCTCAGTTCGTGTCTAAATTTTGCCTAAAATGTGTTATTTTGTAATTATGTTGTTTGTTTACATTTTGTCATCATTTTAAAAATATTAGATCAGATGATACTCAGTACTCAAGTAACCTTCTAATCAGATACTTTTTTTACCCTTACTTGAGTAATAAACCCTATATCAGGAAAATATTGTCCTTGGTTTGTGTCCTTCCAGTGAGCTTTGCAGATGTGGGAAAATGTCATCAGGCAGTAATCATTGTTAAATTCATAATTATTCTCGGAGAGAGGCCAACTCTCATCTGCCCCTGGGAGCCCCGTAATGCATAGCGTCATTTCAACATGGGGGTGTCCGTGACACGGTTTATATGCAGGTAGCGGCGCTGCGGCTGCTTTATATAGCGACTCGTTGCATTCTCCCTCAACCCAAATCCTCGGATCACGCATTTTAGCTAAAACACTATCGTTAGACCACGCAATCGATAGTCTTTCTCCATGGCCTCACCAAACTCCTCCCACGCCTGAGATTTTGCCTCGGCAACTGCCACTGCTGCACCCCGCTTGGCTAGCCGGTACCTGTCTGCTGCCTCCGGAGACCCACAGACCAGCCACGCCCTGTAGGCCTCCTTATTCAGCCTGACGGCTCCCCGAACCTCTGGTGTCCACCAGCGGGTACGGGGGTTGCCACCACGACTGGCACCGGCCACCTTACGACCACAGCTAGCAACAGCCGCCTCGACAATCGCAGAGTGGAACAAGGCCCACTCGGACTCAATGTCCCCCACTGCTCTCGGGACGTGGTCAAAGCTCTGCCGGAGGTGAGAGTTGAAGACTGTCTTGACAGGTTCTTCTGCCAGGCGTTCCCAGCAGACCCTCACTATGCGTTTGGGTCTGCCAGGTCTACGCGGCATGTTCCCTTGCCATCTGATCCAACTCACCACCAGGTGGTGATCAGTTGACAGCTCCGCCCCTCTCTTCACTCGGGTGTCCTAAACATACGGCCGCAGGTCAGATGATACGACTACAAAATCTATCATCGACCTGTGACCTAGGCTGCCCTGGTACCAAGTGTACCGGTGGGCATCCTTATGTTCGAACATGGTGTTCGTTATGGCCAAACTGCGGCTTGCACAGAAGTCCAATAATGAAACACCACTCGAGTTCAGATTAGGTGGGCCGTTCCTCCCAATCACACCCCTCCAGGTCAAGCTGTCATTGCCCACGTGAGCATTGAAGTCCCCCAGCAGGACAATGGAGTCCCCTGATGGAGCACTATCTAGCACTCGTCCCAGGGACTCCAAAAAGGGTGGGTACTCTGAACTGATATTTGGCCCATAAGCACAAACAACAGTCAGGACCCGTTCCCCGACCCGAAGGCGCAAGGAAGCTACCCTCTTGTCCCCCGGGGTAAACCCCAACACACAGGCAGAGAGTCTCGGGGCTAACAAAAAGCCAACCCCAGCCCTCCGCCTCTCACCCGGAGCAACTCCAGCAAAGTAGAGTGTCCAACCCCTCTCCAGGTCTCGGGTTCCAGAGCCAATGCAATGTGTCGAGGTGAGTCCGACTATATCTAGCCGGTACCGCTCAACCTCTGCCACAAGCTCCGGCTCCTTCCCCTCCAGCGAGGTGACGTTCCATGTCCCAAAAACTAGTTTTCTTGTCCGGGGATTGGACCGCCAAGGGTCCCGCCTTGGTCTGCCACCCGATTCGCATTGCACCGGACCCTTCATGTTCCTCCTGCGGGTGGTGGGTCCACAGTTGGACGAGCCCATGTATCCGGTTCGGGCTGGGCCCGGCCGGGCCCCATGGGCGAAAGCCCGGCCACCAGGCGCTCGCTCACGGGCCCCAACCCCAGGCCTGGCTCCAGGGTGGGACCCCGGTAACCCTCCGGGCCGGGTACTCCGACTCTTCGTTTTAACCGCCATGAAAGATCCTTTGAACCGTTCTTTGTCTCACCCTTCACCTAAGACCAATTTGTCATTGCGTGGTCATCGGGGGCAGTTCCTAGGGAGTGGCAGACCGGGGTGGTGGTCCCCATCTTTAAGAAGGGTGACCTGAGGGTGTGTTCCAACTATAGGGGGATCACACTCCTCAGCCTCCCTGGAAAAGTCTACTCCAAGGTACTGGAGAGGAGGGTCCGATCGATAGTTGAATCTCAGATAGAGGAGGAGCAATGTGGTTTTCGTCCTGGCCGTGGAACTGTGGACCAGCTCTATACCCTTGCAAGGGTGATGGAGGGGGCATGGGAGTTTGCCCAACCAATCCACATGTGCTTTGTGGATTTGGAGAAGGCTTATGACCGTGTCCCCAGGGGCACCCTGTGGGGGACGCTCCAGGAGTATGGGGTGGGTGGCTTTCTGTTAAGGGCCATTCAGTCCCTTTACCAGAGGAGCGTGAGTTTGGTCCGCATAGCCGGTAGTAAGTCGGACCTGTTCCCAGTGAGGGTTGGACTCCACCAGGGCTGCCCTTTGTCACCGGTTCTGTTCATCACTTTTATGGACAGAATTTCTAGACGCAGCCGTGGTGTGGAGTGTGTCGAGTTTGGTGGCAGGAGAATCTCGTCTCTGCTTTTTGCGGATGATGTGGTCCTCCTAGCTTCATCCAGCTCTGACCTTCAGCTCTTGCTGGGTAGGTTCGCGGCCGAATGTGAAGCGGCTGGGATGAGGATCAGCACCTCCAAATCTGAGACCATGGTTCTCGACCGGAAAAGGGTGGCTTGCCACCTCCGGGTCGGGGGAGAGGTCCTACCTCAAGTGGAGGAGTTTAAGTATCTCGGGGTCTTGTTCACGAGTGAGGGTAGGAGGGATCGGGAGATCGACAGGCGGATTGGTTCGGCGTCTGCAGTGATGCGGACGCTGAGCCGATCTGTCGTGGGGAAGAGGGAGCTGAGCCAGAAAGCCAGGCTCTCGATTTACCGGTCGATCTACGTCCCAATCCTCACCTATGGTCATGAGCTTTGGGTAATGACCGAAAGAACGAGATCGCGGATACAAGCGGCCGAAATGAGTTTCCTCCGTAGGGTGGCCGGGCTCAGCCTTAGAGATAGGGTGAGGAGCTCGGACATTCGGGAGGGACTCGGAGTAGAACCGCTGCTCCTCCGGATCGAAAGGAGCCAGTTGAGGTGGTTTGGGCATCTGGTCAGGATGCCTCCTGGACGCCTCCCCGGGGAGGTGTTTCGGGCATGTCCTGCCGGCAGAAGGCCCCCGGGTCGACCCAGGACACGTTGGAGAGGTTACATCTCCAATCTGGTCCGGGAACGCCTTGGGGTCCTGCCGGAGGAGCTGGTGGACAAGGCTGGGGAGAGGACGGCCTGGAGCTCCCTAGTTGGGATGCTGCCCCCGCGACCCGGACCCGGATAAGCGGAGGAAGACGAGACGAGAGGAGGCTATCGTTAGCTTGCCTTGTGTTGACTGTAGAGTTGTGGGTGATGGTCATGCAGATGTGTCATGAGATTTGAAGCGTTGCTGCCTTTCACAGACACTTTTTCTGCACGTGCTGCAAACAGGATAGCCGTCTTCTATCAACTGTCCCTCGGCATTCTTCAAATATCCAAAAAATGACCGTACTTCCCACTTTGTCTTCTTTGAGGGATAAAAAATGTCCTGAGTGCTGCCGTCTCCTCCTGTGACCATTATTTCAGCTTTAGCTTCAAGAAGGTTGTAAACAACAAAGTGCGCATGTGCCGCCGGCAACTTCAGCAGATGATACGGTGGCTGGTAAGGGTCACCGCGCCTACACCGCAGCCACGGTAATCCACAGAGATAATATAGTTTTTTTTTAAAAACAAGAATTATTATTGCCAACTTTTTTACCGGGGTTTACCGCTACACAGGTTACCGTGACAACCCTAAACCAGAGTTGAGATGTTCCTCACTCACATCGTCATCGTCATCCTCGATGGCCTCCCCCGTGAAGTACAGCACAGCTCTGGGTACGATGCGCTCCCGGATGAAGTGGCCGATTTCAAAGTCTGCTGTTAGAACCGCTTCAGAGTCCTCATCCTGAAGGCAAACACATCAGCCACCTTTTATTAATCACCTAACATCAAATGGTAACTATGCATTTGTAGAACAACCACAAACTGGTGATGAAGATCAGGTTTCCCTCCAACACAACCCACATGTTTGATCAGTCTCTGGATTTCACAAACTTAAAGATGATCAAGAGTTTTGGTTTTAATAACCTTCCAATTAGGCAAAGTTAAACACTTGCAACCATAACCGGCGCTGCAGTCACACACTGATCACCTTTAGGGCTGAAAAACTCGTCACCAGTAAAGAAACTTTGCAATAAAAACACAAACTCACCAGTTCTCCATTTTCTGGGACTGTGAAGAGAGAAGATGGATCAAGTTATTAGTAGAAGAGTTATGAGTGTAAACATCAACAGGGATGCTCCACCCTTACCTTCCGGTGGGCTGAAGAAGTTAAAGAAGGAGTCGTTGGGGACAGTTTTGGTGACCGTCCTCACGGTCCCGCGACCCTTGTGCTTTTGTTTCTTCTTGATTGTTTTCAATGTGACGTTCTTTCCCTTTGTCCAGTCAATCGTGCAGCTGCAGGAAAACAAAAAGACAAGATGGCATCAGCTCATCTGCACTACAGAGAACAGCTTCACGACTCAACGGTGACGCAGTGGACTCACCCTGTGCAACTCATGATCTCTGGTCCATCAAAGGAGAACGGGTCGCTTTCGTCTGGTTCCGACCTCATTTTGTAGACTTTTGTTAACACTGTATTTGTAAAGAACTCATTGGGCTCAAAGTGGAACTCTAATGTGAAGCTCTGAATGAAAAACAAAAGCCCAGTTAAGCAGTTTGCTGTCCAACTACTGAAGTTTCGTCCATCTGATGCAAAGACTCACCATCGGCTGTCCTGGATCGGAGAATTTTACTTTAATATCTTGTAAATGTTTTAGGATGGGTTCATCGTGTTCCTGGGGAGGGAACAAAGAAACGGGCAGCTTTAGAAGATTTTGGCTAACACGGACAGGCTTGTGCAAACTTCTGCCAGCAGGTGGAACCAGATCTGGTTTCTCTGTGTGAGGCGTCAGCAGCAGCTGGTGTCTGTGACAAGACTTTCTGTTCCTCTGCTGGAGTGGCTAAACCCACCTGCAGCATGTCGCTGAGCAGGTCCACATTTTTGAAAACCGTTGACCAGAACTCTGGGATGCCTTTGGGGTCTTCCTTCTCCTCGTCCTTCTTCTCTTCCTCCAACTTTGCCTTCTCCTTCATCTCATCCTGAGCGAGACAGAACATTTATTTTTAAAACGAGGCTTGGCCACATTTCACGTCGCAGTATGAAGGCGTGGACACATCAACGCTGCCTCCGTTAAAACAGTTTTATAAAAAAATTAAAAAGCTCTGCAAACATTCCAGGAATAACTCCTAAAGCTGCACAGAAGCTAAATGAAGTAAAACAGTTCAGACAAAGCATGCAGGTATACGTCACCTGTACCTGCTTACTTACTGTCAGCTCTTCCTCCTCATCTGCCTTCCATTCACATTCCTCATCTGTGGGCTCATAAGCTGCTGACACGATCTCACTTCTCTGGAAGAGAAATCGGGTGAACATCATCAGGTTAGTGGAAACAAACGATGCGTGCATTTAAATATCATACAAACCATGTACAAAGCCAATCTAGGTACTCTGCCAACAAACATTCAGGGGATATTTGAAAAGAGAACTAGTAATTACGTGCTGAAAGAAACTGATGTGTTTACAAAAGCTAGATTTAGAACTAAAGTGAAGGAGTGGAATATATCTGTAATTGGTGTTAAATTATGGAATAACCTTAAAAGGGAAATTAAAAGACTGTCATTTAATATATTCAAAAAATGTATCAAATAGTGTACTAAATAATTATGAAAATGTAAATTAAATCAATGATCATGATCACACTGGAATTTAGAACAGGAAAAAGATTAAAATGAATGTGTATGTGTGTCTGACAAATGGTAATTATATATAAATTAATTATTTCTACTGGAAAAGGTTGCAGAAATTATAAGAAGTTTTTCTTCATTCTGCTCCTTTTCGTTCAAATTTGATTTTTTTGTTATGTATTTATGTTTATGTTTATGTATTTAGCAGGCGCTTTTGTCCAAAGCGACTTACAAGTGATAATCGGCATGTTGCCCTTGAGGCTAACAACAACAATAACAACAACTTGACATCAATCATTTTTATATGTTTTATTTTGAATGAAATAAATAAATCCAAACGAAAAACAAGGCAGAGGTTGTTGGTTAAACAGCCACGTGACATGCAACTCGTGCTGGGTATTGTGGCTCATTTCCTAAATCGATTTGATTTTGAATCTGAAGGCTCTGAATCGATTAATCACAATTAAATTCACTTCAGTCTGGTCCTAAATAATTAAAATGCTGAGATACAAATCAATATTTCAATTGAACATTAAGTCAGGGGTGTCAAACTCAAATTCACACTGGAATGAAATAATAAACTGGGACTTAGTCCCAGGCCAACCTCAGTATTATTGAAAAGTTATGGCAAATGTGCACAACTTTCTTTACAGATATGTATTAAGCCTTTTTATTTGAAAAAATAAAAATAATAAACTTATTTTTTGAATAAACTAATTACACACAAGCAAGTCAATATGAAATAAACCACAGTGGTATTGGTTACTTATGTCTAATTTTTAAAATATTTTATTCCTTAAAATGTGTGTGTATATTGACCAACATAGTGACCTTTTATCTACATCAATCAATCAATCAATCAATTTTTTTCCAGCATTTTAGAATTTTTAATATTAAGAATTTTAAGTATTTCTGTCTTATGTTTTTTTGCCATTTACTTTTTATTAACATTTATTCTCCTTTTTCGCTCCTGTAATCAATGTAATTGCTGCAGTGAAAGCAAACTTCCCTCTGAGGGACAACAGAATTTTTATGCTATTCTATTTGCAGCCTTTAACAAAAAATAGTGATGCTCCTAAATGAAAATGCAATATCTCAGCTATTAAAAGGAACTCCAGCTATGAGAACATGTATGCCCAATAAGCCACAAGTTTTCTGTTGTACCAAACTATGTTGTAAGAAATACACAAAATATTGCCGTTTATTTATAAACCTGTAAAATTTAGTACATTTTTTGACATATGTAGGACGCCATGTTTTCTGCATGCAATGCACTCTGGGGGCGATGACGTATACTGGTTTCTCTTGGAAGAATAGCTATTGACGCTAGTGTTTACACACTCACCGTATTAATGAAGTAAAATGCCGCATTGAGCTGCTTTTGGATGTAATTTCCAGTCAGAGGGCAACAAGGGGAGTGATGTGAGTTTACACAGCTTTCACAGGAAGAGGAGAAAGCAGTGGGAAGAAGCCTGTGGACCTACACAACTTCCCAAAGACTCCTGTGTTGCTTCAGACAACAGTTGCTCTTATAGGCTGCTGAACATGGAGAGCATTTGAGCAACTTGAGCTAGGTCCGTATGTCAGGGAGGACAGACAGAAATCCAGTTTGTGGCTGTAGCCGTTTCTATCTACCTGGCGGTTGGTGCGCTTTTCAATGTCCGCCAAGAACAGGTTACTGAGCTGTTGGAATCTCCATTTCGGGGCTTCTAAGTTGACAAAGCGCTGAGTAAACTTGGCGCCGAGTAAAATGCGTGTTTTCAGTTCATCCCAGACTGAGGGCAATGCTGCAGACGCCAATACTATTAGCACGGACGCTAATGACCGTAAACAGAGAGGAAGGGTGCTTCCATTGACAGGTTGACACCGCAGAGCACCATGGGATTTGTAGTCTTTGCGGCAAAATGAGCCAACAGGCTACTCTAGTTCAAGTCTAGTTCAAGGGGAAAATCAATTTTAGGCCTAATTGATTTTAGAAAATTTTTATGAAATCGTTCCAAAATCGATGAAATCAAATTTTTTACCCAGCCCTACTGGTGAACCCTTGTTCTGCTGACGTTTCAGCTAATTACTATAACCATCTTCACAGCTCTGATGATGGTTATAGTAATTAGTCGAAACATTAGGAAAACAAGGTAAAGAACAACCATTTTCTTCTGTTATAAATGAACCAAGCAAGGCAAGTTGACAAAATACACAAATCGAAATTTATGTTGTTATATAGTCCAGCCATCCTGTTACAGATAACATGAACGGTTCTTTTTTGTCCCCGTCTCTACGATCGTCTACGCCACTTCTCCTGCTTTCTACAGTGCAACAGTCTCTTCTGCTCAGCTGCTAAGCTAACGCGTCACATCGGTGCAGCAGAGGAAATGCTTGGAAGTGATTGAGTTATGCATGTGGAGCTTTCGGACCCGATCATTGAACAGACGTCTGATAATGATCAGCGCCACGTTCCATAACTGATGGACATCTCTGCAAGAGACCTACCTTGTCAAAGAGAGGCTGATAGAGAGCTGCGTACTTTCTCTCAAGTTCGTGAACTTCTTCATAAAACTTGGCTTCGATGTGGGCACATTTCACCTGCAGGTTTTTCAGGGCATTTACACGTCTTTTCACGACCTTTGGTAAACTGTGGATAAACAAAGGATGTGACCCAATTAAAAATTATTATTATATAAATGTTTTCTACACATCAATCTTTCAGATGATCCATACTGACAGCTGTTACATCTCTAAACATTCTCCACACTTCGTCTGTGTGCCTAAAGATCTACAGTCCTGATCCTGAAGAGCTTTTCACCTGACCGTGAGAGCTGTGATGAGCCCAAACAGAGTCAAGTTTCTCTGCAGTGTGGTAAATTAAACCACCCGCAATGTGCTGGCAGAGAAGTGCCAGCTTGGTCCCAACAGCAGGGATGTTCCTCACCAGTGGTGAGTTTGCTGGTTGCTGCCAAACCCTCGACACATTCAAAGAACTGACTGCTGAAGGGAGAACCGGCTAAATCGGTTAATGAACAAGATGTTTAAACACAGACCCACTTATTCAGTGTCATGGTACACATGGAGATGGGTGCAATTAATATCGCAGCAAAGCTTTGTTGCACAAATGCCACTTTCAACCTTCAGCAATCATTTGAAACATTGTATTTTCAGCTGAAGAAAACGTGTGTGTGTGTGTGTGTGTGTGTGTGTGTGTGTGAGTGCAAAGAACCCTGCTGCTTTTATTTTAATAGGTCTGAAACGATTCCTCGAGTACCTCGAATGATTCAAGTACAAAAAAGCCTCGAGTCAAATTCTCTGCCTCGAAGATTTGTTTATTCATGGCTTAGCAATCGCCCGGGGTCATGTTTCACCCGGACTGAAATAAGTGACGTACATGCCCACTGCAATGCACACGCGAATAGCGAATGTAACTTAACTTTCTCTTACGCCATGGCGGACAACATGGACCCCGGTGGAGTGCGAAAAAGATGGAAAACGTAGTCCAGTGTAAATACTGTAAAATGGATTTAGCCTACCACAACACCACATCCTCCATGCTGCAGCACCTGACCAGGAAACATCCACATGTAAATGTCACTTCTGCAAGCGAACTCTGAGGTCTGCTATATATTCTGCGGACACTGTGCGACTTTTTCATTTGTAGCACTCAGGTTCAGCTCACACTGTGTCTGGTAGCAACACGTCGGACCTAAAAATGTGCTAAAAATAGCAGTTTTTACACAACATGTCAGACCTTTTATTGTGTTGTTATTTAGGTCTGTTGTCCCTCAAGATTGCTGCAGGAGGACACAGGTATTTATGTGTGTGGTGGAGGAAAACGAGATAAAGTAAATAAATGTTTTGTGATCAGTATAATTTGACATAACCACGGCAAACATGCTTTCGACAATCCTTGTTATTGTGTGTGTAGAAATTAAAACGGACGTGTGTTAAAAGGGAAATTGCTGGCGAGCCATGTTTGCACATGCGTCGTGAGCGGTTCTGGTGCTGTTTGGGCCGCAGCCGCTCGCTGTGCTACTTCAACAGTTATCCTCCTAGTTTTTGCCTGGCTTGCAGGCTAGCAGATTCTCACACGAGGGGAAAATCGGCTCAGGTTGTATACTTATTTTTTGAACAGGCATTTGTTTACTTTGAAGTAAAGTTGAAGTGCTGAAGTTTTGAAAACTAATTTTGAATCAAACTTGAATAACTGGCAATTGCGAGCTCATTTTAAGAGGTCTTTCATATTTTATAACATGCTATTTGATATAATGGTTTACAAACACAAAAGGGTCATTCATTTATTAGAGTACTCGAATAATCGATTAAAGATTCGATAGAGTACTCGATTACAAAAATATTCGATAGCTGCAGCCCTAGATTTTAAGGAGATAAATAACCCACCTCTCCATGTAACCCGACGGTGAGCCGTTCAGACCATCGAGCCTCTCCTGCAGCGCTGCCAGGATCTGTGGATTCTGCATCATCTGAACAGTGAGCTGACGAGCTGAAGACAAACATCAGGACAACATTTCATCAGCTGACCTGAATATCTGACTTTTTTAAAGTTGTCTTCCTAAAACATGTTTGTTTCTGTCAGAACCGACTCGATCATCACATTTTGGCAGAAACCAACTGCTCTTGTAGCTCTTTTAAAGGTGAAAACAGAAAACCCTGCAGGAGAGCAAGTCAAACCTTTCCACCTCTACAGGCAAGTAAGTGTTGGGATTTAAAATCTATGGCATTAATTTGATATTTTCAATTTCAAAACTGTTATTTTACTATTCATAGACTACTTTTACTAAATGAATTATAGAATGAAAAATGCAGCTCAGACTGGCTTACTCTAACAAAAGCAAAATCACATTTTTATTCAACAGAACACCAAATGCAACATTTGTGTGTGTGTGTGTGGTGTGTGTGTGTGTGTGTGTGTGTGTGTGTGTGTGTGTGTGTGTGTGTGTGTGTGTGTGTGTGTGTGTGTGTGTGTGTGTGTGCTCTGTTATAAACAGTAGCATTAACATTTTAAGTGAACACTCGTTTCTAAGCGTCGGAGCAGTCCCGGGTTGTCAGCAGAACCTCTAGAGGGATTTTTAGAAACAGCAACCTTTCATTATCAGCTAGATGGATTTCTTAACAAAATCAGAGATCATACATGACTATAGAGCATAGACCAGACGCTCCAGGACCACATGGCTAAAACAAACAACGAGGCTCTTTTAAAGGCAGTACTGAGACGCTGGTCCTCATCGGCTCACCGACACTCAGACCCAGTGGGTGATGGAATCAATACTATAATAACATATAAGTGGTTTTAAGTTTAATAGATCAAGTCTGAAATGAACTTTTATGGCAGAATCAAGAGTAAACTTTCAGCAGGATCAGCTAATGAGCAGCTGTTGGTGGGATATAAAGCGGCGCTGCATTAATCACCAGTAGCACCGACAGGAAGCCGTCACTGATGCTGTTACACATTGTTAAACATGTGCTGAAGCAAACAGATGGTGTTTGCACATTTGATCTTTCAAATGTTTTATTGCTGCAGTTTACAATGATGTCTACACTGCAAAATAGATTTTTTATGAAAATGAAAATATTCAACATTAGACCAATTTTCCAGTTTTAAGCAACATTTGCTTACCCCTTTGGAAGATTTCTTTTACTCAGAATATGAACATTTGATCTTAATTAAGAGTCGATACATTCAAACATCTAATGGGTTACACCTTCAGCTGTCTGGATATTTTAGGCAAAGTACTTATATTCTTTTAAAATATAAAACAACATGAGAATGGGAAAATAACGAGGAGAAAAAGGGTCAATCAGGGTGCACGTGAGCTGCATCACAGCTTATTTTGTGTTTTAGCAGAAGAGGGTACAGCAGAGCCCTAAATACATCATTCAGTCAGTCAGCAGTAATATTAGACTATTAATATAAACACATTATTGTTTATGTGCTAAACTGTTGCTGGAGTCTAGAGTTCAGTAAAGTTCACAGCACCCAGATGTGTGGACTCGACTTGCTGACTTAGTCACAAGAAGCCATACTAAACTTCCGTTAAGCCGAGCCTTTCCAGACACGCTGTAACAAAACAAATCCACCTGATTTCCCTAATGAACACCAGGATCCAAGCTAATCAGAGCTCCTGGTCTTCACAAGTAGCTAAATGTCAGACTAAAAGGCTGATGCTTCTTAAATAACTAAACTGTTTCACTCAGACACAAAAAGAAATCACTACCACATTAATGGATTTCCTGAAATATTTTCTTAAGAAGCCCATTAAAGCCATCAACCAACCTTTGCTGTTTTCATCCTCGCATGTCTCCTCCTCTTCTACGTCCTCCACATCCTCCATGTCTGCCGGATCCATCTCAGCCTGGTCTTTGCTGCTCGGAGACAGAAAGATGGAGGAAGGTCAGCCAGAACAGACACATTGATCACCGCCAGCCAAACCATTCCGTGCTTAACCAATGTTCAGTACAAGAGTTCTGCCTTTATGTGGGCTTTTGATTTAAATAAATCTTGTGTTAATTAAAGTTGGGAGTCTTTTTCAAACAAAACGCTGTTCCAAGCAGAGAAACACGACACCCTACTTAAAGTAGCAGCAGAGCCAGACACCTATCGTCAGTCATCCTCTGTTCAGTCTGCAGCACCGGGTCTAGTACACCAGGCAACAACAGAGGGCCGTGTGTGTGTGTTGCATCATTTAGAGATGAGTAGTATTAACTTGCCTTTTTCCGACTTAATTTAAAAAGAAAATCTGATGAAGCAGCAACACCTTGTTTTGGGGGGCCTGCTAGAGGTTAACTTAACCACACCAAAACCAGTGACGGCACAGCTGGTGTCAACCTGAGGTGGTGGATACTTACTTATCAATGTCTGCCATTTTTGCTGAGTTTCAGGTGATGCTGGAAAAAAAGAACAGCGCAAGTTAAATGTTTCCTAAAGAAAACAAGAGCATCCTGAAGCTGAGCACTGACGGGGCGTTTCACAACCTTGTATATAATTAGGCTGCCAGACTGGACACACTGTTAAAAGCTTGTGTTTTATCTTGTAATGTTAAATTAAGCATTAAGTCTGAGGCTAAAAGTGGATCATGGCAAGATGCCAAATACAGGCCACCCTACCTGTTTAAATATAAATGAAATGTTCATTTTTTGTAAACATCAGTGCCAAAATACAGAGAACTAAATCTGACAAATGCTTCTCCATATATCTGAAAATAAGCATAATAAGTAGCCCTGCATCTCCACGATACTGCTGTGTGTACCACTTTAATTTGAGAAGGGATGTATAAAAGCTGCATATAAAAATCCAAAGTAGGAGTCACACTGCATTCCCAAGAGGCTGCATGAAAAGATCAAAGCACACAAGCTTTTCCTCTCTTGAGAAGCAGCATGCAGCCTGATTCAGTATGATCCAGGACATGTCCGCCTTTTAGATGGACTAGAAAACATCACAGATGAACTCTTCCTCCTCAGAATGGAGCTTCAGTCAGTTACCACCCACACCTTCAACCATGTATGTTTAGATGCGTTCGGCCACATGCTTCCATCCACTTGGTCCACAAAGTGTCAACCCAAACGGACTCGTTCTCTCCTTTGTCCATCTGAGAAAAATGTGCTGTTCAACACTATTTGTTTCTTTTCACCGGGGAACAAAAGAAGGAAAACATACCAAGGACACACCAAACATGACCTTAAATTTACTTTTTACTCTTTGACTGAAACAGGAGTTTAACTTCATAACAACGACAAAACAGGACCCTGACCAGCACTAAAGCAAACATGTGGACCTTAGCCACAGAGACTTGTTTGAGTCTCTGTGGCTGATACACAGATGTATCAAACCATTCATATGTATGACATAAGTAAATTTCCTTTGTACAACTCAAAACATGAGTGAATACCAGAGGCCTTCTTTACATATGAAAATATTCCAATGCCCAATCAAAACATGTGCAGCACAGCAAGTTACTAGTGCCATTAAGTTACTTAATGCTGTTATGGAGGAGCAGCAGATCTACTCTGAGCCCTTCCAGGGTGACCAACCTTCCTATCTTTAATAGCTCATTTCCATTAAAGGCCAACAAATATATTCAATTTTTCTATATCGGCCAAAATTATTTTAAAAAGCTGATAAAAATAAATAAACCTGTGTGGCCAACTGCCGCCACTACTAGACTGAAGAAAGGATCCGAAGGACCACAACACATTGGTTTTTTTTTATGTTTTGTGTTTGTTTTATACTTGAAGTTCAATAAATATTAAGGGATTTATTGACTTATGTAATTTATATTGCACACAGTGAGTGTTCAGTTTTCTTTCACAATCAATGTGCTGCTAAAATGTATATATCAGCCTTAATAATCGGCTTTAGATATCGGCCATTGGCAACGAAATTCTTTAGAAATCGGCATTGGTCTGGGGGGAAAAAACCCCATTGGCAGGCCTCTAATTCCAATTTTCTATTTACTGTCCAGCCAAAATTTCTATCAACCATTTTCTCTTATTTGGAGGTACCAATTTTCATCCCTGCTACTTCACATCGGGCTTAAGACCATTCCAGCAAAAGCTGGAGATCATTGCCTGATGAAGCAAACAGGCCCACATCCTCTGCAGAAAGCCGAGACTTTATCCTTAGGCCACCAAAACAAATCCCCTCAACACCTTAGCCATGTCTAGAAATCAGTGACAAAGGCAGACATGGGGATCCCATACAACCTAAAATCTACATCTGTATCTGGAAACAGACGCCAACATATTGAATCACATCTCCACGACTTAATGTAGTGGCACTTTGACTTGTGTGTGTGCAACCAGGACTGAAAACCACCAGAAGGGTTTGCGTTAAGGTTTTTTAAGCTGACTTGAACTAACATCAAGTATAGGAGAGTAAAATGAACTCAACCAGTTTCAATTAAATGTCTAGTAAACTGGACTTGACCTTGTTAAATCTCCAGATGATATGCGCCTCACTGCTATGTTCATTTAAACCTTTAAACATCTAATTAGAACTAAAACATTTAAATAACTCAAAGACTTTATAAAATGCGTTTCATAGACTAACTCGAGTCATTTGGAAGCACTCTGTACTTGTAGCCATCCTTTTGAACATAACTGTATTAGAAATTAGAATTTAAACTCAATGAAAGGATATTCAGATTTTAAATAACTACTGATTACAAATTAACGTTTTCAGAATAAGTGCTAATCTGAGCCTCCACTCTAAAATCTGAAATACAAAAATAAACTTATTTTAATATCAAGTGTATTTTATGATTCCACAGCCCAACAACAATGGACTCGTCTTTAATCCAAAGGTTAACACAGGCAGTGCGGTTCACACACGTTTACCATCACGGACCAACAGACCGTCCAAATCATTCTTTTGTTTAGGTCTTTTCGTCTCCATCCACCGACCACGTGTTGCATGCTGAAGTCTACCAAACCATCACACATTTTCAAGTCCCGCTATGTCGCTTCTTGTTTTGAAGCCACATTCTGGAACTACATCAACCCGAGTTAAAACGCCAACCTGCTTAAACAGCAAAGCAGCGCTTTGTCGCTACAAACGCAGGCCGAGCCCCTGGCTCATCACCGGGGAAACTTTAGCCGGCCTGTCCGCTGCTGAATGCTTCAACACTTCCTGCTAGTTAAGCTAGCAGGTCGCTTAGCTTGATGCGCACTGCCCGAGCTGAGCCAGTGGGAGGAACAGGACCACACAATACCGTCCACTTAGAAATCGGTGCCACCTCTTCGGTAACACGTTTTCTCCCTTATGCAACACAAATGTCCATCGGCCTTGACCAGTCCGTTCCCCACTCCAAGCATCAGCTTCACAGAAAAAAACGAGGTCAAGTCAATAAATGCAAAAATGACGAAACACGTGTCAACAAAATGTCGCAAACAATCGACAGTTGCGGGAAACGTCTGAGGTGCTATACTTTAACGACTTCATTATTCGGGAAAGAAAACTACTAAAGTCACACGAAGATGGCCGCTGTTTTACCATTTTTAAAGCGCGTGTAACGTTAACACCTAACAGTCAATGGTTAACACATCATGGAGGAGCAAGTCTCAATGGCTGCTGCTGTTGCCGCTATCTGGTTCGCTAGCATTAGCAGAGCACCGCCGTCTTCCCTTCTCAGCCGGTTTGTTTATGCTACAGCATTAAACCCGAACTTCGCCGCTCACGGGAGAGTTCGGGGCGTCGGTGTCCGAACCACTACCAGCTTCCGTCCCTTACCTTCGCTCTGAGACCGGAGACTGGACTAGACGAGGGACACTACGCAGTGAAGAAAAGAGACTCCGCTCCGATGGCGGTAAAAGGGAGAGAGATCCCGCCGCCTGCGCTCATATACATCCGACGTCATCACGTAAACGGGCGGTCACCGAGGCAACGCTCATGGGAGGGGCGCGAGACTTTCCTCCTTGGTGGGTGAACAAACGTTAAAAAACCATCATGATCACGCTACTCTTCATCACTCTATCCATTTATGATCTCCATGTTTTTCAGTTATTACCCGAGCTTGAGCACGTTCTTTAAAAAGTTATATTTTCATTATAAAATTAGGATTATCTTCTCAGCATCTTGTCAGCATCTTGCCTGTTTGGGGTAGGCTTGTGCCATCCCCCCCCTCCCTTAAATATATTAATTATCATACTGTTTTACGTTGCCGTCGTCTTCCTCTGCTTATCCGGGTCCAGGTCGCGGGGGCAGCATCCCAACTAGGGTGCTCCGTCCAGACCGTCCTCTCCCCGGCCTTCTCCACCAGCTCTTCCGGCAGGACCCCAAGGCGTTCTCGGACAAGATTGGAGATGTAACCTCTCCAACGTGTCCTGGGTCGACCCAGGGGCCTCCTGCCGGCAGGATATGCCCGAAACACCTCCCCGGGGAGGCGTCCAGGAGGCATCCTGACCAGATGCCCAAACCACCTCAACTGGCTCCTTTCGATCCGGAGGAGCAGCGGTTCTACTCCGAGTCCCTCCAGAATGTCCGAGCTCCTCACCCCATCTCTAAGGCTGAGCCCGGCTACCCTACGGAGGAAACTAATTTCGGCCGCTTGTATCCGCCCATGGGGCCCGGCCAGGCCCAGCCCGAACCGGATACATGGGCTCATCCAACTGTGGACCCACCACCCGCAGGAGGAACATGAAGGGTCCGGTGCAATGTGGATCGGGTGGCAGACCAAGGCGGGAACCTTGGCGGTCCGATCCCCGGACAAGAAACTGTTTTACATTATTCATTTATACATGCATATAAAAGAGTGCTTTTTAATCATCAGGTAAACCACACATTACCATTTTATTTGTTGAACACTTTTAACACAGTATTACAACTGATCAATCACAATAAAATTGACAGTACAGTTAAAATCAAAGGAATAAAAACCAAACAGGTAATTAGAACCATAAAATCCAGAAAATGTAAAATTAAGCAACGAAGATGCAAGGAGGAAAAACCTGTAGACAAAATACCAGAACCGGGTTTAAAAGTTAAAAGCCAAGGAGAAATAGTGCATTTTAAGATGAGATTTGAAAGCAGTGATGGAACCTAACTTAGAGAGCTTTCCAGAGTTTCGGTGGTCACAGAGAATGCCCTTTCACTGCAGGTCTTGAAATGTGCCTCAGGAACAGTGAGGAGGAGCTGATCCACGGAGCTGAGAAGTAAATCCTTAACAACTAGAAGCAAGACTATGAATTTAAATGATAAAAGTCTAGTTATTATCATTATTTAGTTAAAATTAAGTACTGGCTGTTAAGTCTGTTTAGTTTTGGTAAAACATTTCAGCCCACAATTTCACACCAATCCCTTCCTACAACTCAAAGAGCTAAGCCTCTCTTATATTTCTATAGGGGTGACATCCCTGGGTGCAGACTGCAGATTTGCAATATTTTCACAAAGAACTGCGTTGTGGTCGGCTGTTGTATCAAAAAGTGGCCCGAGTAGACAAGGATTCATTTTTCATGCTTTATTTGAACTAACATCACTTGTAGCAGAATCAGGCATCCATCTTAATTCCCAACGTTTCTTATTCACTTACCTTCACTTACTCACTTCCTATCCTATGCTTTCCCCTAGTGGTGGACAGAACACACTGCAACTCAATAAATGGCATCAGTTTTAAATGAACAATGGCTGTGTCTCAATTCAGGGTCTGCATCCTTCGAAGGACCCAGCCCACCCCGCCGACGTGGGCTGGGTCCTCCGTCGGCCGGGTAGACCAGATGTTAACGGCTGTGAATTTGGACAGGCCTAGCCTTCTTGAATTCCCGCCTCTCCCTTGGGGAACGTTCCGTTGCCTAGCAACTGTGGAACCGCTGAGCAGAAGGGAGAAGGAACTTTAAACGATGGAGCTCGAAGTTTTATTTAGATCTTTAATCATTTCCTTGACTGTTGGAGAGCTAATTCAGAGAAAATACTTTCGACTAGCTGAGCCTGAGCAAAGATGTCACAATAGTTTTTAATACTTTCTAAGGGTCTTAATTTGACCAAAACCGATTTATCACCTTTTAAGACTTTAAGAACCAGCAGATACCCTCTAGTAAACAATTCTCATTTGTAAAACAAAATAAAATTCAAGAGTTTAATGCAGAACTGATTTTATTTAGATATTTATTTTATATGTACATGTTTAATCTTTCTTAACGATTTTTTCTAGCAAAGTAAAAAGCTATCAAAGTTCTCCCTTCTCTCCTGTGCCCTCTGCTGCTCTGCCTCCCTCTGCAGCCTCATGTCCTCCCTGATCAGCTCCAGAAGCTGGTCATCGCTGGCACCTTCCCCTGGATGCCCATTTTCTCCAGAATAGTCTTAACAAACATGTAAGAAAAGAAACAGGAAGAAAAAAGAGGACAACGGGTTATTCCTTTCATGTTTTCGCAGAAAAAATAAACTCAAACGAGTTTTTAAAATATGAGATGTTATTGTACCTCCATGCCACAGCCGCCGAATACTTTGCTCCAGTGATCATGTGGTCCATCTTCGCCCTAAGCTTAATACATTCCCTGGTTTTCTCTTTTGTCCCTAAAATACAAACTTCTATTAATATCAGGGGGAAAACGTAGCGGGAGAAGTACAACACCGAGCGGCCGAACATACGAGCCGAGACCGCAATACAAGCACTTTTACTGTAACATTTCTAACTAAAATAACTTTCATGTATCACAAAAAAGTCCTTAACCTAACAGTTTTCAAGTTTATACTTACATTTATATGCTCAATCCTCTCCAACAGCTCCCACTTCACTGTCCGCCATTGTTTGTAAAAAATTTTCTGCCGGCCGGCCCGCAAGGCATCTTGGGAAATGCTACCTGTTGAAGGATACACCGGACCCATCCTTCATTTAGGCGAAAAGAAGGCCGGATTCGTCGACCGCATTTGAAGGAGTCTTCGAATTGGGACAGGCCTAGTCGCGGCGCTGTACGTAACCGGCCGACGAATCCGGCCGACGTAGGATGCAGACCCTGAATTGAGACACAGCAAATCACTATTTCAGCTTTAAATGGTTAGGACGGAATATTATCTGAATATCTTTCCAAAGAGTTGTATAATCATCCTTACTGTTATTAGTTAATCTCTACAGTAATGTGACACTGTTGACACAACATTTCGAACTATGTAGGGGTGTAACTAGATCTCTCGGTTCTCACACATCACGATCTTTCTCATTTGGGTGACATTGGTCTTGCAAAGCTGCAGGGAGTCCTCTGTTGGTTCTGAAAATACTCACACAACATTAAAATCGTGTATGGCTCCACATGCCAAAGCAAATGTCCCCGTCCCTGCTGCTTCTAAAACAGTAATGTACTTCTACCTTAATTATGTTTTTATCACAAGCAAGGATTCATGTTTTGTTCTACTTGTTATCATAAAAAATATTTATTTAAATGTCTCTAGTTAATTTGTCACATGAGCAAAACTGTACACTGTTTCTACTCATTATTTTAGATCATATGTTTTAAGATACACATCTTTTTGGCTTTTGACAAACGGGCAACAAAATATTCTTGCAAATATATATCTGTTTGTGTTGTTGAAATGTTTTTGTCACAGAGAGTTTACATAAAGTCAGACAGAAAACCACTAAAACTAGTTTTTCTATTGCAAATATAATAAATGTGATTGAATTCCATGTTGGTTTAGGTCAAAGACACAAAGGGTCACATATTTATTGTTTACACATTTACCATTTTACATATACACCGGGTCACCCTGACAGCAGACCACTGAACTACTCTGAACAAATAAATATGGATGACATTATTTCATTCAAATTCTAATTCAAATTCAAAAACACTTTATTAATCCCAGAGGGAAATTGATTGCTGTAGTAGCTCAGAATAATAATAATAACCAAGTCATCAAAAAGTTATTGTATATTACAATAGCTGTTGGCAGGAAGGATCTCCAGTAGCGGTCAGTGTTGCAGCGAAACTGAAGAAGCCTCTGACTGAAGACACTCTTCCGTTGTCGGACAGTCTTGTGAAGAGAATGCTCAGGGTTGTCCATAATTTTCTTGATTCTCTGGAGAATCCTTCTTTGCATTATCTTCTCCGGTGGTTCCACAGTCGTCCCCAGAACAGAACCAGCCTTTTTTATTAGGCTGTTGAGCCTTTTCAGGTCCCTTCTTCTGATGCTACTACCCCAACAGACGATGGCTGAAGAGATGATACTCTCATCAACAGACTTGTAGAAGATCTGCAGCATCTTGCTACAGACATTGAAGGACCTAAGTGTCCTCAAGAAGTGCAGTCTGCTGTGTCCCTTCTTGTAAACGGCTTCACTGTTCTTTCTCCAGTCCAGTCTGTTGTCCAGGTGAACTCCAAGGTATTTGTATTCCTCAACCACCTCCACTTCTTCTCCCATGATGGAAACAGTGTTTGACTCCACCCTGTTTCTTCTGAAGCGTAAAATCATCTCCTTTGTTTTGTTCACGTTCAAGGTCAGATGATTGTTTCCACACCATGCCATAAAGCGCTCCACCAGCTCTCTGTAATCAGCTTCCTGTCCATCTCTGATACATCCGACAACTGCAGAGTCATCTGAGTATTTCTGTAGATGACAGGTCTCTGATTTGTACTGGAAGTCTGAGGTGTACAGGGTGAAAAGGAATGGTGGGAGTACAGTCCCCTGTGGTGCTCCAATGTTACTGATCGCCTGGTTTGATGTGCAGTTATTCAGCCTCACAAACTGTGGTCTGTTTGTCAGGTAGTCTTTAATCCAGGCGATAGTTGAGGCCCCGACCCGTGTCTTCTGGAGTTTCTGGTAAAGTACATCAGACTGGATTGTGTTAAATGCACTGGAGAAATCAAAGAACATAACCCTCACAGTGCTGCCTGTTTTGTCCAGATGACAGTGGATTGGTTGAAGCAGCTGGATGATGGCATCTTCA